GGATTTTACGGGGCCAATCGCTGAGTTTGTACGAAAGTTGAGGGAAAATATATCGAATTATTTCATTGACTTGTGCAAAGTAAATTTGCTTCATAGGAGACATTTTTAAGTCAGTCAATCAGCTTTCCACGGCATGGAGATAATATTCAATGAAAATTATGAGAATCACAATTCGCTCACTGACTACGGAAGCGAATCGAAAACTTTAGGCGACGGCATCCCAATTTGTCCGAGGGAATTCGCAAAAAATAACAGATCGCTCTGGAAAAATTCCATAAGTTTAACAAAAGAAATACGAAATCTATCACCAGTCTATTTTGCGTAGATTACCATCATAATCTTTCGCATATAATATTTTTTAAATATAATATATTCATGTATGCAAATATATTATATATAAATATATAATTGCATTACATGCATGCTCGGGTAAAAAAAAATGTAATACAATGGAATATTTTTTCCAAATTAAAAAAAAATTTCTAGAAAACTTTTCAGAAAATTTTTTTTTGTTTCATAAAAAAAATTTTCTGAAAAATCTTCCAGAATTTTTTTTTTCGATTACAATTTTTTTTACCTGGATTAAATCATCAAATAATTTCCGCTATCAGAAAACCCATCCTTTCCTTTCAATCTATCACCTCAAGAGTGCCAAATATATACGCGCGCCAAATTTTTCGGGTCTCTCAAAAAATTCACACAATGAGGATTACCATTGCCCTTTCAAAGGTCGAGGATTATTGGAGAATTATCCACTCGGTGATTTGTTGCGGACCACAATATGGATCGGATGAAGAGCCAGAAGAGCGTGGAGCGTGTCGACGTTGGGGTCCCCCTACTTCCGGCGAAGCATATCCGGTAGTGCTCCTACCTATATCTCGGTCCACCAGACCGTGCACACCCCTCGTTCTACAATCATTTCTCTCCAGCGCCAATATCCCCTACTTTCCTCATATTCCGACTGACCACTAAAAATTCCCCCGAACATCTCCCAGAAGATCAGAAGAATCAAAATAGGACCTTGGACAAATTGTGTGAAATGGATTTTTGGTCACCCAAAAATGTTCCTCATGGAACAATTTTTTTTGCCAGCCTCTTCGACAGGCAATTTTGAACCAAAAACGTATAAAGGGTAACAAGTCGAGTTGTTCTCTGCTCGAGATTTCGTGGAACATCTCGAAATCTCGGAGTGACCGCGAAATAGGTCTCGAGGAATATTTTTTGTAGAAGTAACAAAGTATTACCCAAAATTGTACATTTCTGAAAAATTGAATTACTAAATTTTTTTTTCCCAAAAATATTTTTTTTTAAACTTAAAATAGATTTAGCCGAAATGAAAGTCAGAGGCGAGATTTAACTAATGGTCGAAATATCCTAATACTCAAAATGAAAATCCAAATTAACGAGACAAAATAATTGAAGAGAAGAAAGTAAAATGGAGAATAAGAATCAAAGAAGAAATTTTGACCTCTCAAATATCGAAAAAATCTCTGAAAAATTCCCTTGCTAATTCCCTTGGTTTTTCAAAAAATTCTGATGGATCTCAGAAAGATACGAAATTTTCTACGCGGGTGTTACCCAAGTATCCCCATTGCATTCGTCTCCCCAGAAGAAGCCGTTTAGTGTTGAATTTTTCAGTCGCCGTGTCCCCCAACACATCGATTTTCCCATTATCCGTCTGACAAATTGATAAGAAATGAAGCCCAACAGAGAGAAAAAACACTGAAGAAAACTGAAAATTGTGGGAAAAGGGGTGAAAAATTGTCTGCGCACTGGAAATGGCGTGTCGTCATCGTTATTTTGACGAGTTTCGGAGTTTTTTGCACGCATATGCAGGCGAGAGTGCAAGCAAGAGAGGTCAATGTCCTTCTCCCTCGCCTCCTGGGTCGCATGTGCAAGCACTTCGACTCTCCTGTTACGCCCGGACGTCATTCAGTCAACTTGAGAATTCCCAACACGTGAGTGTTTACCGATGAAAACGAACAACAAATAATCATTCCAAGCGAAAAACCTCCATGATTCAAGTATGGAATTGAATTAAATGGAGATGTACTCATTTCAAGTAGCTTCTGACAACTTGGCTCCAGTATCTTCGAAGAATAACGACCAGGACTCATTTCAAGTTCACGAAGAATTGACAATTTAATTCATGTCGAAATTCACCAAAAGCAAGCTCAACTCGTATCAATTCAAAACCAAATCTCAATCGAATCATCAACTTGATTTAACATCAATTTATTTCAAATCGTTTCCGTCCACTCGATTCAAAATCCTTTTGAAGTATGACAAATCAAGTGGACAACTTGACTACTTGATTGAGCTCTCGCAAGTCTGACTTATTCGTTTTAAGAAGATAAAATTTTTTTGGTGTCGAGCTTTACCCTTGGTTGGTCAACATGAATCAAGCACAAATGCGTAGGCAGGTGTATGCAGGCGTATCAAGTGTGATGCTATACTTGAATCAAGTACCTGAAGTAATACTAATGTGTTTTAATGCCCTGGGTCATTATTGACCACCGAATTTTCCACGACGATCATGAATGTGGGTAAAATATCTTTCCACGAAAACTGATAATTACTGCAGTATAATTACTCGCACCGTCAGACAGCCGATTTGTCTTCCGGCCGGCTTATGGGTTATAAATGGTGTTATTAGCGGCGTAATTGCACTTCTCGCTGGTGTAACCCGTCCACGCGGACCCGAGAGCCCGTTGTCACGGTCTATTCGCAGTCTCCCACCCTCTTACCCCATGTCTATTTCAATTTTTGTAGGAAACACCCCACAAATAGAAGATAATTTCTTTCATGGTGTACATGGCAAAACGGTAAATCATTATTCGCGGATTTCCTCTGCATTCGATTCGACTCCAACTAGTGATGGCGACTTGTCTTTACACTCACTCCCGTCCTATTTGTCCGTTTTCGGTTCAGACTCGATATACGGAAGAAATCTTTCCGGTTTCGGTGGCACGACCGGTTCCACTGATAGTTGCTCTTTTTTTGTCTCGTATTTCTTTCAGAGAGCAAAACGCCGTGACACGAAAGTCTTCGCTCCACGTTTGTTTTTTTTTTCCTTTTGCTTTTGTTAGATCGAATTTATGGTTTAGGATGGAGTGCCAGAGGGAGACTGTGATTTTATACGATTTTTAATAGAGATTCATCTCAGTGATGAGCAAAATTACGCGCGAGATAATTATGAGATTTCACAATTTTGTCTGAAATTTGGAGTACGCTTCGTGAAAATTTTTATACTGTTATACTGAAGAGGTTTTCGTTTTCTAATTGAATTTACTGGTTTGTAATAAACTGTCCTTTAACACAAATTCAGATAATCTTTTTGAGGAGAATTACCGAATTCCCGTAAGATTTCCGCTAGGAAGTCTGAAGAAATTTTTTGAATTCTAAAAATGTTAAAAAATTTCCCTGAATTCATGGGAAATATGATTTAGTAAATAGTATTTTATTCTTGATACTCTTACTGGAAATTTCAGATTTGAGATGCTAGTGGAAATTTAACTGGTGCTAAACACATGTTCGACCTCGTAAATTACCCCTTCCAAGCCGTAAATTATAATTTCGAAAACGGAAATTACGACTTTGAAAATCGTAATTTAAAACTATAAACGGATAATTTACGAGTTCGAAATCGTAATTTAGCGAAATAAATCCGTAATTTACCGCTCGAGATAATCATGAATTACGTTCCAAAACGAGAAACTGAACGGAGCAAAATCTTCATGTTCTTCTCAATGCTAAGAAATAGATAATATTTTGAAATTTTCCCTGAATTTTGAAATTTTGATGTATTCCTAGAAGTTTATTATTGTTAACGATATTTCCAGAAAAGATAATATGATTTCTGTCAGATTTAACAATGTTACGAGCCCCAGCCTTCACAACCCGTTATAGCCCAATTTTAACTGCCATACGGTGTAAAGGGCGCTTTGTGAGCTCCAAGTTTTACGATTAAGCGTACTGCCGACACCGATATTTATTGCCGATATTCGGTGGAGTAATATTGGCACTTACCCAACACGAAACCAAAGTACATATATACAGTTGACGCACAGTAACATGCATTCACTCCTTTCGTTCTCGAAATGGCACGTAAAAACGTCTCAGTGGAAAACATACTAACTCGAAACCACCACCAATATATACGATAGTGAGGAATTTTTGAGCGTGAATCAGGCCACTAAGTAACCACGCACGGGTCATAAAGACCGCAATTATTCCTCCTGCCGAATAAAATTTCAATTGCGGAAATTACTTCGGGAGGATTCCAGTCGGCAATAATTGATGGTTAATTTTAGCATTCGAGAGATAGCTGTAAAATGTCACTGAATTTGCACCCAAGGGTGCATTAAATTTCCCATGTATTTGCTGCGGACCCCAATATGTTGACTGCACATTTTTTATTTCCGGGTAAATAAACTAATGAGTGAAAATAAATTGGGCGAAATTCGCGACTCTCCGGGAGTCACTCTTACTTGTGCACTCTGAGAAAAAAATACTTTGGACCGAAAAAATTTATTAGCTCCGAGTCAATCTTCTTCCGAGCAAAAATCGTCCAGTGGAAAGAAATAAAAAAATTATTCCCCAAAATTATTCATAAAAATTCACTTCGAATTGAAAATTACCTGAGGGTCACCTAAATTTCACCGAGAAATTGATTTCGTTTTAATATTATAATACTCTAGAATACTAAGAATAAAAAATGAAAGTAAAATTCTGGTTTATAAAAAAAGTTTCATTCACTTCCCAACGGCGCAATAATCTAGTTCTAAAATAATCCACAAAAGGGCTGAGCACTTGGGATTCCCCGATAATTACCAAAAGGAGCCATCAAAAATTAATTTTAAAACTCCAATAGTTTTAAGAAAATTGCTCGGCGCATTTATCATCGCGGCAAATGTTGAAAAAAAAAAAATTGTTCCACAGGCATTCCAACGACTAAAAATAGTAAATAGTAAATAGTAAATAAAATTATGATGACTCACCATGAAAACCATGAACCTTGATTGCAGGTTGGCGCTCCCGATGTAAGTCAGCGTAACCAGCCCCAAAACGGCTGTACTCCGTTGATAATAACTCTAATTTCACTTGGCTCGATATTAAAACTATTGTAAAATCCTCACTGGGTTATTTCACCGTGTTCGATATATCCGTATCAATGTTTTACCACCGATTTAATGGAATTCTCATCGGTTAATACAGACACAGTTAGGGAAAATCAATCGACAACCGGTGTACACTCGTTCCGGTTGCGCGCACGACGAATGCCGTTCAATGTCCGATCGGTTAAATTCAAGAGAACGTATACGCGCACCATTCAATTATAAATCACTTGCCCTCTGGGTGTAGATATACGTGTTGTCTCTCCGACGCAGGTAGCATTATTATCTATAATTTTCAATTTCCGTGGTGGTCGTTTATTTATGGATTTGCTTGATTATTTAGATTTATTTTTTTATTTTTAGATTATTCGGTTATACTGCTGTTTACTGGCATCTGGTTGACATACTGGCGTCAATACTGGCCCGTTCAACTCGCCCGACCTGCGAACAAATAATAATCAGTCAGATATTAATATTTTGTTGACTTTTGAATTGAGCAGTTTTTTTGTCATCAAATTTCCAGAAAAATGTAATATTCGTTGAGAATGTTTTATTTCGGATTTTAGATCTCATTGTCAGAAATTTATAACGTTTTCAATGTCCGCTGAAATTTTATGAAATCTTGACATGGAAAGAGGAATATTCAAGTCATTGATTTTTCTAGTTAATCATGATTCTCTTGAGCATTTATTGTTGCAATTGCTTGAGATAAATATTTGGTAGTCCGTGGAAAATTCTGATTTATTCGATAAGATTTTTTTATAACAACTGAAAATTATTCAGCAGGCCAGCAAAAATCATTCCAGGACACAGAAGGAATTATTCTATATGGGGATTAATTTTTCTGTAGCGAATGACGTATTCGGTAATATTTTCTAAACTTCTCCGGTAAAGTTCCCCTTCTCCCCATGACATGCGGATGAGCGCAATAACAAAAATTTTAAATAAAATTCCATAAAATTCCAAATAAAATTTTCCTCACAAAATAAAGAGATTTTGCAATGTTATTATCATGTGGCATAGTGGTATGTGGTACAGAGAGGCGAAAAAAAAAGATTGTCGAGTCGGGGGCAATGGGGAATATGCAATCGGAGCGAACGGTTGACAGGGCGCGGTCTTATGCCGGGCCCATGACGCACCCGTTTCTTTATTTAAATCATTTGATCCGTCACGTCACAATCGATTGAAGCTAATAACTGGGGAAATGGAATGAAAAAAAAAATCCCATGTCACGTACGAGTGCCATATCATCCTCCCTGAAATTTGATTCTCTTGTATTTTATCTGTTTTCCCAATTTCGCAATCGACGCACGCTGCAACCGATTTGATTAGTCTGATGTAATCACCTGGAATTATTTAATCGAATACTCGTGTACGAGTCAGCGACCATGCGTATCCATTTACTCATATTTTCAGCCAATTCCAATTTAATTACTATAATACTGATATTTTATGACAAGATTTTTTACGTTATCCCCAAGAAATATTGTCAGTTATTTGTCAGGTTCAGAAAAATCCTTTTAGGAAAAAAATTCGAAATACAATAACTTTTTCGTTGGTGAAATAGGAAATTCTTCATTTCAATGATAGAATCGACATTTTGACAACTTGACAAAAATAACCCGAATTAATAATTATTGAATTTAATTATTGAATTTTATTTAGCCAAAATTTATTTCATTTGAATATGGAAAATTTTGAAATTTTCCGCGCACAAAAGCTATGAATTTTCGAGTAAATTGATGAGGATTCTTAAGATTTGCACTTTTCGAAATAAATAAAAGAAAAACCATTACGAATTCCTTTTGAGTTTATGAATGGAGCGCAGTCAGGCGCGTGCGAGTGCTCGGCGATTTGGAACGGCCGCGAACACGTGCCTCGGATGCATTTAAACATACACCTATCCCCATAATCTCACGAAGAAGAAAAATATCTACACATTAAAATTTTGCGAAAACCGCATGATTTTGAATTATGCTAATTCTTATAATTTCTCCCAAAGTATTGTAGTCACGTAATTCCCGAAATTTACGATGTCAGCTCGTCGTCCAGCGGTAGAAGTCCGTCTGTATGATAAAACCCGAAATTTCGCGATTTATCAGCAATTCAGGTTTGATATTCAAAAACCACCGAAGAGACAGAAAAAAATATTTATTATTTTCAAAAAGGTCACTTGACTCTAGGATTTTTTGTTGTGAACAAATTTTGAAACATGAAAAAGAGACAAAAGTTGAATTGAAAAGTTGGTTGGGGAACATTAAAAAATTATTCCCAAAGCGCCAGGTACTTTTTCATACGAATTTTGGATCCACCACAAAAAATGAAAAAAAAAATTTCTGAATATTTACTAAAGTCATAAATTGGTATGAAAAATACACTGCAAAAATTGAAAAATTAATTAAGTAATTCAATTAAAATGCCATCACAAAAATCATTTTAAAAAACTACTCGGCGATAAAAGTAAATAAAAAATATAATATGAGTTCCCTATAAAGTGCGAGATTAGTTTTAATTACACGATTTGTTCTTTAATTCCAGCGGAAGTTGAAAACGACAAAAATTCCGAATATTCAGCTCTAAAAATGAAAAAACCCATTTTTTCTCTAGTGCACGTAATTGTTCCACAACTTTTTTCCTCACGTGGCCTCTAAAAACGATAATTCCACTATAGGATTGCGCCTCTATCACTCGAGTATGACTGAAAGAAAAACATCGCGCGCAGAATATCAGAAGTTTGTCATAAACTACATAAACTATCGTGAAAAACGCGACACGCCAAGAATTCTCAGCGAACCCGGCCTGAGCAATTGCGACACATTCACCAGAGACAGTGAAATAAAAAAAATTGATCAAATATTAAACAACTCTCCGCGAAGAATTGAATATTCATTAAATCCATAAAAACCCACCTACCAGCATGCATTGCAGCGCACTTAAACAATTTCCCTGTAAAACCGATTGAAAAAATGGCAATTGCCCCGATCGAGGGTATCAGTATCGAACTATCCCATACAAATATTCATCAGCACTAAAATCCACCCTAATCCATAAAACAAAAAAAAAAACATTTGAAATAGCCACAAACGTCGACGAGAGAGAGAAAATGGTTCGGAATTACCGGAAAAGCATTAAATTAATACTACTCCTTAAAGTTCGCTGGAACGATAGGCTATTCAACTAATAACAGTAATGCAGCGGAGTGTATGACCGATGATTGTCAAAATGGGAGCATCATAAACCACAAAAGGTTGCCCCATTGGCGTTCCCTCAGCCACCGTTGGCGCATTGAAAATTCAATTAATAGGTCCATACTGGCAGTAGCCACACCCTGTATTTCCCATCACCATAACGAGACATTGAGATACAAAAAAAAAAAATGTATCCCCCGTGTTTTTATCCACTCGTCATGCGTTCGAAATAATGAAACAACGAGTGTCCGTACACACAGCCTTGGACACTAAACGCACGTGTATTTGCTGCGAGACGGGCTCAAGGCCCATTCCTTATCACATTCACATTTCTCGAGCTGCACGTACGACACAAGTTGTTAAATATTTCAAAAAATCTATATATATAAATAATAGATCGTCGGACGGGTGAGATATGTTGGACGTCGAATTAGACGCGATTGCGAGAGTCGGGAGATTACACTATGATGAGTGGATTGTGGACATCGCATGCTGTTAAAACGATCAATTTCGCACTGATGCTTCGAATTATTAAGTTTGCCAAGCAATCTAGGTTAGAACAGAGTGTTGTGTATTTCTAACATTCGTTTCTGTGGAAATTCAAATTTAATATAACGAAAAAATGGGTCTCGTCGAGAAATTGACTGTTTACAGCTTCAATCAGCGATATTACACTGTTAAAAATTTATTAAAATTTCAGTCACGCAGTTATTTGAATTGCCAATGATATGAGTTTGAATTGAATTTAAATTTAAAACGGTTACCAAATTTTTCATGTGCTCTGAAATTTTTTTAAGTTGAGTTTTTCATGTTAATTGGTAATTGATATCTTAATCGAATTTTAAATTTTTAATGGGATGCGTCGCAGGAGGAAATGAGTCAATTGAAAAAATCATGTTTCCGGTTCTCCCGACTAATTAATCAGAAATATTCATCACCATCCTGAGGTCCCTACCCTCTAATCTCAATTAAACTCGCAAATCTTCTACCTTCGTTCCTCATCTCCCATGAATCAACGAACCAATAAAATATCTATTGTTTCCCAAGATTTGCCATCAGGTGCTGAATGCTCCAGTAGCGCGTCACAGATACGTCCCATTACGTGTCCATTGTATGCTAATGAATGATTGTCGCGTGAGTATGATTGTTTTTCATCAATAAAACTCAGACATGCGAATAAAGTGCGCGGGCGTTGGTTTTAATACCTCCTGTGGACTAGCATAGAATCGACTTGTACCGCTCATCCAATTTTTTCCACAGCCATCGACTTGACATTTTTCTTCACCACGAATATAAAAATTCATGCTTTCATTGAAAAATCCCTTTTCTCAATTTTCTCTCAATTTTTATCAATTTTCTGGATTAAAAAAATTAAATTCAATGAACGTCGTCAATTGGGATTGTATTCAAGCTCAAATAATCGACGATTCAAATGACTCTGTGACTGAAATTTCAAGACGAGTTTACGAGATTACGAGATTAAAAATACAAATTACAAAATTGCAAACGTAATTTAGGTTCCTGAAATCATAAACCCTTCAATAGAGTGTCTCTGTAGATTAGAAATGATTTTGGGGATCATGAAGAGAATTAGTCATCTACACTTGGAAGATAACGGATCAGATAATAAAAGGAGTCTCAAAAACCGTTTTTTCGGAGGAAAATAGAAATCCAAAGCGTGAAACTGGCATTTCCCCTTGGGTGAGCGGTACATGAGGATTCTCCTAGAGTTAACCGAGGGCCGATGGGGAGACAGCGGACACTATCGCTGATATTTCCACGACAACCACTAGAAAACTGGTCTCTGTCGGAAAATTATCAGTCCTTCACGGGCTTTTAACTCACAGAAATCGAGGGGGAGAGAGAGAGAGAGAAAGTGGCGTGTTACGCAGAGTTTAACCCAACCCGTTCCGCCCTGATTAATAGCTTAATCATTACGTGAGCTTCTTCGCGCCTTCTCGCATCATGAAGCCCTGGGTGATCGTGCACAATCGATAAGTCAACCGGTCTCTATTTCTGTACCGATCGCCACTACGATCACTTCATTTCATCAGATATTATTTCACACATCACTGGTAACTCGTTTCAAACAATTATCCACTGTATTATAGATAATGGATTCATTAGTTTTTTTCGCGTAATCGGATTGAGATATCAAAATAGACGAAGAGAAATACTTCACAAAAACTTTCTCAGATTTTACGACGAAATTCCATACACAACGAACTCGGATTTTCTCTAATAAAATTCCCATTGCACTGGAAACTGAATGGCCTTCAAGAAAATTCAGTAAATTCATGAAAAAAAAACCGCAGATGTTGTGCACTGCATTGAAAATTATTATTGTTATTGATTAAATATATCGGCATGAAAAAAAAACACTTTAGAAAAATTATCCGCTTCACCGTAAGTTTTTCTTTGAATGCGCAACAAAAATTCACCTCTCACCACGAAAAAAAAGGGATGATTAAAATGAAAAAAAATAGAAAACCACCGAAGTATTCACCCAGCGTAATTATTCTTTATCCTATCCATATGCAATGATCCTTTAAAGCAATTGGATATTCGGCAAAAATAAAAGTTTTCCCCACAGTAATAATATATCTGACCCCAATACGAAAAAAAACCTCCCATGAAAGACGAGCGATAAATAACCGTCGACTTGAATCTTCACCTAATAGAGTAATCCCGCCGCCTGCATAATTAAATCCATCATAAGGCGTGTCGTCGGGACAACGTATCGTAGATGGCAAAAAATAGCGGTATTCCGGTATAAAAGTCTAGGGGCGTCAGTGAATAAATAACGACACTGGCCATTTTTTCTCTCATCCACAGAATCTAATATGACCTCGCAACTGGATTCGTCTCCGGCGTTTAAAGATAAAAAATAAAGAACACATGTAAGATAATATGGCCAACTCATCAGCACCACTTGCCATTCCGGAATGCTAGCTATCACCATCCACCTATTTCCTTTTTTTCTTTCAGGGTCATGCCCATTCGTTATCAGGCGTGAATAATTATTAATAAATTAAGAGAAACAAAAGTAGAAGTTTGGCTAGTCGAATGAGCGGTCACTCCATGCGGGACTATCAATTTCATGTCGATACAATTATGTCGAGATAATATATGCCACCGTGCGTGAGATAGATGTTGCGATACGCCTTCAGCGTTGAGGCCATTTACGCGGACCTCACCAGGCATAAATAATCCTATTAAAACGTGTCGCTGGTCATGTCAACAATCTGACAGGTAACACGATGTCATATATATGGGAGGAGATATTCCAGGGCTTATGTACTCAACTGGGACAAAGACATCTGTTAACGACAACGGGGGAACAATGTTGGGATCGTAATCTCTTCTGCCCTTGACTTTTCTCCTCAATCACTGAATAATTATTGTCACAGCGTCACTTATCTCGTGGGTCTGCCATCGAGAGTGTGGAAAAAACCGGATAAATTGGGTCATTTCGGTAGGAACAGTCATACTGTGGGTAATTACTTCTGGCGGTACGATTCTTTCATATTTTTCTAATTTTTTTTTCCCATTTTTACCAACTTTTGCAGCTGCAGACTGAGAAATAAAAATACTACTGCCAAGGAAATTCATTAACTACTAGAAAATCCACTCATTTTAAATGCAAATGTTTGTATATATTGACTTGCTGTTAATTTACTTGGCAGACGTAATTTTTTTTTATGGAGACAGCGATAAATTTATGGTAAAATTTACCCTGACGTTTGATAATCGTGTGGTGCTGATGTGCGGAAAATGCGATGAGTCTAGTGGAAATGAAAAATTTGTTGGCAAAGAAAATCTTTTGCAGTTCTTTTCACTAGATGTATTAGAGTATTTTTTTTTTTAATAATAATTTCGTTGTATATTTTACTTGATGTGAACGAATTTCTACTTAGGGGCGTATTTTACCCTCCTCTCCCCAATATTCAATTTTAGAAATATGACTCGAACTTGAGCTCAAATCGTTTATAAATATAATCGATTGTTCAATGAACTGAAAATTCGAGTCAAATACTCGCTCGAATTATCAACTCTATTCAACTTAAATCCGATCTTCCGGATTCAATTGTTAATTAAAAAATCGAATAGATTAAAAAATAAATTTTTCCTTCATCAAGCCGCCCGCCTCAGCGAAAACTACTTTTAAAAAATTCTACTACTATTCACATAAAATTCCTGATAATTCATAAGGAAATTTGATTCTACAAAAATAGCTCCTTATCTTCAAAATGTTATTAATAAAAATAATTAGATAGATCGGGTGACGAAGATCGGACTCGAATCAAGTAACCAAGGACAATAAGTCCTTGAATCAAGTTGAATCGAGTGTACCCGAGGCCTTTTTTTAAAAAAAAAAACAAAGAAAAACTCACCTACTGTCTCTCGTCCAAAACTGGTATCCGCCTCAGGACAGCCCCATCCGAGCAATAATCCAACTGACGAAGGCAATCAGCAGATTGAGCGTACAATAATGAATTAATTATCACAGTAAATCGTCGGTGCACAACAGCTCGATACTTCTCCAGCAGCCAATCACTGACAACACTGGTCACACCACAAAATCCATCCGACCCTTCCGAGAAAAACAAATGAATCCACCGATAATCACAACAGCCCCGAATGTCGCCGAATTTTCACGAGAAGAGTTTTCACATCGTCATTCGAACGATCACTTGCATATTCATAACCCCCAAGAGACAGACTGACTATATGCCCGAGGATCGATGAACTTTAAGCGATAAAAGAAAAAAATAAATAAAAAAATAAGAAGCGATTATTCCGCCGGGGTCAATCACACACATTAGCACGAAAAAAACCGAAGCATCTCAATGATTAAACGCACCGAGTGGATTCAACCGATGAGTTCATTCCTCGCGGAATATTTACAACGGACGATTAAAATGTCACAACCAAGCGTAACGAGAACAACTAACAACTGACGCTCGATTGCAAGCACGATCAGCTGATCGCCACGCGCGCTACTATGGCAACCGGTGCGCGGTTGTACGTATCTACTGCAGAGTGGCGCATGAAGATAGAGTAAACCACACATACACAATCACCGAGTGACGGCGGCGCTCTGACGACCCGACGACCATCACTAAATTCACCAAATCTATTCCCTCACCACAAACCATAAATAACTCATCACTCAGTCGATTGTTTTTTGTTTCACATCAGTCACTAAATTTCCAGCACTCCCTCCCAGTCCATCCTCACCTCTATCAAATAATTATATATTTAATACCATTTATTCTCTATTTTGGGTACACTGGGTTGTCAGCATTTCTGCATATTGTCAGTATTTTTCATCATGCATTGGAGTTTATTTTGTTTACACTTGATACACTGAGGGGCAATTTTAACGTTTTCGGGTGTCTTACTCGATACTGGCCGCACCAATTGTTTATTGTTGGGTTGAGGAATTGTTGTTTATCGGTGGATTGGGGTGGTGGTAAGTTGAGGAAGAGGGAGGTGGAATTGAATGTTCGAGGGACGTATCGAGCACATCCGCTCGTGTCGGCAGCCGGGCGTGCACTGGCTCCAAGTTGACGAGTCAGCCACACCGGACCTGGTGAGCACTCGTCCGTCGGTGGGGCCTCTATCCACTCGCGTCTCGCGCGCGGCCCACACGACTCCGATACTATTACTATCAAGCCTATAAAGCCTTCGTGGAGGGAGACCCTCTATATACCCCTATATACCTCTATATACCTCTATATACCTCACTCTACTTCTCTAAATAAAACAGCGCTTCCTCATTTCAGTTATTATCACTTGTTTCATAATATTTTCGTTCGACCGTTTTGTTTTCATTTTCATTGGCTATCGGGTGAACCCCGTGTGGTTACGCCTTGAGAAATATTCGACTGGAATTACAGGGGTTTTAATATGTTTGTATATTTATTCCTTTGGGTTGTATTTGATTGTCAGAATTTTCTTCTAGTTTTTTTTTTATTTGAAAATGCAATTTTCGAGTGTGTTCGTAGGTGTGTTTTTTTGGATTGTGTGGCAGTTGGTTCGAATTTCATCGCTAATGTATCTGTGAAATCCAATCATTTTTCTCTCTCCAATGAGAGGATTGTTGATTCGTAAGTTGATGATATTAATTAAAATTCAATTTGCTCATTAATTTTTTTAGGTTTCGAGTTTTTTTCAAAAACCTGTTTTTGACGATAACTAAACAAAATCTGGGAAATTAAAAATTTCGAAATGGGATTCTGTAAAAAATATATGATCCACATTTCTTGAGTATTGGTGAATTTTTAAAAATAATTTCCACTTTTTCGTGGAACAAAATTTTTTTCTGTAATTCTCACAGGCTAATGAACTGAAATTACACTTCCGTCAAGGGAGAAAATAGTTGGGATCGAAAGTCCTAGAATTGGTTGATTTTCCATGGAAGGAAGACATCATTTCTCTGTATATTAATTAGTGATTATTCTTTTGTGAATTTTTTGATGAGATATAAAAAGCGTGAGCATATTGCACACAATTAGATGCATCTCTTGATAATCCCGACGAGTGAATTGAATATTCCGTTATTCTGATTTTAACTGTCGAGACCTAGGCTGTTCAACTCCCATTTGAACAGCCTAGGATAACGCGTGTCATCCTCGTTAGCTTTCCTTTCAACTCACGAGATAGAAAATCACCCTGTAGTTTTGAGATCCGCTTTGACATTCGTGGAGACGAGAACGAGCTTGACCGATAGCTCCTATGATCCAATAATTCTTGATTCCTTTCAAAATTTCAGGAAATTGCTCCTCATTGAACTGCATTTGATTCAAAAATTCTACCATCCCTCAGAAAATTCATTCATGAATTTTCATAACGATCTTTATTTAATTCGATTCAATATCTCTCAGAACTCCTGAAATGAAAAATTCTCTAACAGCGCGTTGCGATAATGCAAATTAGGATTATCAATTAAACTGCAGGTTTCATCGTGATTCGATGTACTTTGAGGAAACAAAAAAAAGGACAAGAAGGATGAAGAAGCAACATGTGTACACACGCATTCTTGGAAAATAATCTTCAGATCTCAACCGGTCCTTACTGTTAGACGCGCGTCTTACAGAAAGAACCGGACAGCTTGGTGTCACTAAACGCAAAATGCAAACGAATGTTTTCTATGTGCAATGAATACTTATATCTATTTGCGGGGACGAATCAGAGGTGGAGATAATTGAGATAAAAATGTGGAGAAAGGTATTATAAAAAAGCGTTTGTCGATTTGGAGATCATCTCGAATTGCGAATCGTAAATGATGTATTTAAAAAAAAATCGATGGCAGAGCTCTGATTTTCGGTGAAGCCTGATCGACAAGATCGATAAAGAGTGATCGGATTTCCGCAGCATGATAGCCTCTCAATTTATTTATATTTTCCGCGGATTTTAATGACATAATACTTAATATTGCAATCAGTAATGAATCGATTACAAAAGATCATTGTCGGTTTTTCAGGAATAACTCGAAAACTATGGTACATACCGAAATTTTTGTAATTACCTTTTTTGCTCACATAAGTAAAATATATAGAAATGGTCATTACAAAAATTGAGCTATCTCCCTTAGTTTCGGATATATCTCTGGAAAACGCGTCGAAGAGCGAAATCGAATCGATCTGCTTTGACAACTTCACTGGTGAGATCCTTTCGTTGAATTACGATATCGATTACACGGGTTAAAAATGATTGCCTTGAATAGAAATGAATTTTTTCCACCGACAAAAAATAGAACCCATTGAAAAAAGATGATATAAATACTCGAGTGTCTTTGTTATTGTTTTTGTGACAGATACGAATGGCGTATGGCGCAGATAATGTCATAGATCCGCACAATGAGTGATTTCCAGTGATCGAATCAATACCGATTGACTCAGAACTCCCACACGAATATGTAAAATGACTAAAAAAAATGATTTTAATGGAACGAATTGAGAGTTGACATTGGTGCGTAATTAGCGAAGAATTCAAGGGAGAGTGGCGGTACACCTGCACCCAAATCAAAGGTGTGTCGATACAAAATACGTGGGATTGATGACTCTGTCAAGTGCTTTCTCAATGACATGTTTATGAACATTCGATTATGTTTTTTACGAACCATTGCCATTGTATGGGAAAATATCCATCGAAAAGCGTCTCTAATTTCACTTGCAGTTTCACTTTAATTGCAAAAAATTTCGCATTTTTAAGATTTTGCAATTAAAATCGGCATACCACAATTGATTGACAATTATGGAAAGGGTTCACGACAAAAGCGAATGCATCCAATTTTTTCTCTACATAATAAAAAATTCATGTTTCATTTTTTTTAAATATTGTTTTGGTGTTTTAAAAGTGAAGTCTTTTGAGGAAGTAATTTAATTGAAGGACACGTCGTGTCAATGAAGTGATGAATGGAATAAATTCATCGCGTTGTTTCGATGACTCCAATTTTAATGTTCAATACCGATCAAAGAATTTGAAAGAGCAGTTAAAATGAGGAATCTATTCCACAATACACTAAAAGGCAAAAGAAGGCATAAAGAAAGTTTCGTTATGAAACCTGTTGAATACCTTCTGAATGCGTGGGTGTCGCGAGATTCGCCTCTTCCATGGAATTGGAACATCCTCTTCAACGTATTCCTATCCAGTAACATCTTCGGTTCGCCATAAGGAAAACTGACATATACCATTTCGAATTCCCAATTCGCATGATTTTTTAGATATTTTATCAAATCATATGCGTAAATAAAAAACTTTGCATTCTAGTATCAAGGATGACCCGATTTGCTTCGATATTTTCAGTTTCTCCACGGACAGCTTTCCTTCACATAATATCATTTTATTGATGTTAGAATAAAAATTGTTAATGTTCGAAAGCTAATTTTTTTATCTAGAGTTAGAAGATGTCCAAAGGAAGAATGGTCGTACGAAATTGAATGAAATAGAAAATTAATAATGGTAAAATGAGATCGCCCGTATGGTTAGTTGTAAGGAATAATTGGTTCTCAATTAAATACTTGAGTTACCTCCAAATGAAAATTTGAAATAAATATAAAATATGAATATAAATTTAAAGGAATCGTTTTCCGCTATTTTCCATATCCAATGGAGAAGGTCATGGCAGAAGAGAACTTGATCCTGGAAATATATTTTTTGCTTTGAACGTATATCAGAAGAAATCCTGTATTTACGTGATTTTTCAGCAATTATAAAAATCGTGATCATTCAAAGGATACATAATTGTTGGACTAATTGAAAAAATACCCGAGAAACCGTTTCATCATGGAACGAACCGTTAGGAGAAAACGAAAAGCGGTAATCACCGCGTCTTTCTGCACAAACCAGGACACGACTAGTTATCGAAATTAATTGATCTTCACGTTGATGGCACAAAATGTCGTCTACTAATTTTATAATCCACCGTGATTATAGATCAAATCAACATAAACTTTTAATGTACTCTAAATCAAGGATTATGGGACGTCGAGGATCTCATTACAAATATTTCTCGTGAATTATTGCTATTGGGGATTTTGCACGGCTCGTATTAAATGTTGACGATGTTGTGGCAAATTGGCGACGACTTACTGTCGGTATATCATTTAGGGGATTATACTCTAAAAAATCAGGACTTCCCCATCAAATCATCTCTCAAACAAATACTTAAATTAATAAATATAACACCCCCTCTTAAAATTTCAAAGAAAATTGATGAAAATGTAATCAATCAACTGCGAAGAAATTCAAGAAATCTCCTTGTTAAAAATCAATCGGTCGTATTTGAAATAATGATAATTTTGGGATGAGAGTTCTATTCTCTTTTTTATTAAAATATTCCAAAGCGTTTGAATTAATAATGCTAGAGCCATCTCTCGTCGTCAGGAAGCAACATGTTAAATTCAACTTTATCCAACAAGCCGTAGTAATAATTTAATAGTCCTTTTTTTATTACTCTGAAATCCATCAATGTCTTATTCACTAAATTGATTGGGATGATTCTTAAAAGGACATTATTAATGAGAAGAAGAAATAAAGAATGCGGTATGCCAGCCACGCCTGGAATAGATACACCAGGGATACGACTGTATAATGAGCCCACCTCAATCTGCAACAAATAATTATTATCAATCACACCACTATCAATATACAAGCGTCATGAAAAAATTTCTGTTTTTCAACAGATGATTGATTGCGTAAAATTTCAATTTGAATTAAAATTTTTTTATTTGGCGATCGAAGAAAGATAAAAAGTTTTGAGAATGAGCAAATAGTCATTAGAAAATTATTTTTCAACTTACAGTCGATATCTCTTCTTGCCTTCCTCGATAGTATCCAGAGGGTCTTTCACGACGAATACTCGCAGACCCCGAATATGGTAATAGTAGTAATCCCTCCATATAAGATCACTCAGATTGAAGTAGAACAATTTGCGATCAATCTCGGATAGTTTATCCCACAGCTTTATGACATTGTCGTTGCGGAAACTCCATTGTTGTGTCGAAAAGTATGAAATAACTCCACTGAATTTATGAATTTTCTTATACGCTTTCCACAATCTAGATGACAAAATAATCATTATGAAAATAAGTCAGTTGCAAACGCGGAGACTTTTCGAAGATCTAACCATTATTTTTTCCTCCCGAATTTCTATTTTTTGCTCGTAAGATTCTTGAGAAAAACTCCGTAATTGAAAAGGTATGAAGACCTTGTGATGAAATTTGTAACTGAATGTGACTGAAACCACAAAATCTACTCTCTCCGTGCAAAATAATGGCTACTTAAATCTACAATAGGAAATATAATAATTACACTGGCTCCCGCCCAGTCAACCGTGCAACAGTATCAAAAATTATTGCTGGCAGTAGATGAGTGAAGACCACATAGAAATTATGAACCCAAATATTGGGATGTAGATGGAAGAAATAATACCAGAAGACCATTTTACTCGGCACTTCCATTCCATAAATTTCATTATACTTCATGAATTCACCCCATGTTATCGAATTTTGGCATGAAGAAACACTATTATATATCGGAGGATCTTCAGCTGGATTAGGCTCTGATGCTTTTGAACTCAAAACAGGCGGTGGGAGGGGTTTCAATGGTCCTCCTATTTTTCCCCTGTAGAAAAAATATTTTTATAATAATTCTCTATTATTTTAATAAAAACAAATCAACTGATTCATCATGAAAATTCCACATGAATTCCATGTGATCCGTCATTCCTAAAAAATTGAAAGTTATATTTCCAATAGTTTGCCATTTCACTACAGAATTATTCAAGTGGAAATGAATGTTCTCCTGGGAATTTTCATATTGAGGTAAAAGTCGATATTTTTTACTGGTTTTTTCCGATGTCCCATGCTGCTGCGAGGATGTTATTGATGACATAATCAGCGGGGATGATATCCGCGACATTTTTAGCATCGCAGTGGAGGGTATGCAGCAATCCCATCCCAGCACCGAGAACAACACCCGTGGGACCATACAGGTTATTAATCCATCCGGGAATCGGTTCTTTCGCTGTTGCAATCATGATCGAAGGGCGTACAATGCATAATGGAAGATCTCTCCCATATTTTCTCACCGTATCCTCAGCCACTGTTTTCGTGAATGCATATGTATTCGGCCATTTTCCCAATATACTAAAAAGTTGTCCAATCAATATTTACAAATTCATTTTGTCATTCAGCTGCTATCCGAGGCGTTCCAATTTCCGGGCCTTCGCAGGAAATTGAGGTGATAACGATAAACTGAGGCTTTCAATATTCAAATTAGCTCATAAAATTCGTGAGCCGAGTCACCAAATGCACTAAACAATAGTTAATCTTCGAATTTTTGGTGATGGCTGAATTTTAATTGCGAAAAGGTCAATGTTAAAATGTTGACTCCGGTAGACTTGTTTTCGAGGAATACCGCTGGATCTGGGAGGGGTAGAGAGATTTTTATCAGAACCTTTTTTTCAGAGCGAAGTGAGAGTTATAAAAAGTCCCTTGTAAGCATTTTGATGTCTGTTTCAGATTTAGAGGTATTCCTAAAAAACTCTTACCTGTTGACTTTTTTGCTACAATATAGACTTCAGAATTTTTTTTATAGTAATCCAAAATTCCCTGGATTTTAATCAATAATATTGAATTTCTATAGTTTGATAACAGACCAGAAACTTGAACGTTCAAGAGTTCGGATAATTCCAATTCACAATTTCCTCATTGGTAATTCCCAGTAGAAATTGAGAATCGTAGAAATTGAAAGCCTTGAAATCGCTATCACATGGATAATTTTCTTCGAATGTGCAAATGTTCAAACAACTCTTACGTAGGTGTTATACTCTCCAGTGTTTCATCATCAAGAATATCCAGTAACGTCAGTAGCTCATCAGAACCAATCGGCGGTTTGTAGAAAATCTCATCAATGAATTTAGTGACACACTGTGAGAATGCTGTACCAATATGTACAAACGCCTATTCAAAAACCAATCACTCTTGAATACCGAATAAATGACGCCGCGGGATTGAAGAAATTTATCATTCGTAATTCGCATGCAATATCCGTAATTGCATCTGTTACCTTGAGGTTGGGCATCTCCCTCGCAAACAGGAGGATGTCTTTAGTTCCTCGCACATTGATATTAACAGCGAGTCGTAATTTCTCGTCGAATCGCACAGTAGCTGCACTGTGAAACACCACATGGGAATTTCTCAATAATTCCCGATTCTCCGGGGACAACTCCAAACCCTTGTCCAGCTGACCCTCCACCATCACAACTTTGCCAGCAAAATTCGGCTGCTCCTCCTTCAGTCTATCGTAGAGCTGCACATAAACCAAGAAATTCACGCACATTTTTATTTTAAGCATCAAGTACGCGTTCTCCAAAGTCATTTATCATCGAGCAATTTATTCATTTTAAAACGGAAATTATTATGTCAAAATTATGAATTTGTCAAGTAAAAAAAAGGGAATTTTTTACAACAACTACGTAACGTGTAATTCCTGTGGAATTGTTCATTAAGAAATCAATTAATTTCTAGAATATTGGTGCTCTAAAAAATCCTGAAAATATGGAAAATTGAACTCAAACTCATGTGATTGAAACGTCAGATGAATTAGTGACAGAGAAATTGTAATTTGTGAATAAAAAGTCGGGATCTACGAGTTTGCTATTATAAACAAAGATTTTGAGATATATGCGTAAGTTTAAGTTCATTTTAATGAATTCTTGTTGGAGTTGAAGGACACGTACTCTAAATTTACGCATTTACTTTTACTTGAGTATTTTGAGCGATTACTCACGGGATCCTCGAAGTGCTCCTTGAACCGCTCGTCCGAAGATTTCCCTTTCTTGGCGCGCATGATTAAGTACAATTTCCCAACTTTTGGGCATGTTCTATTAAACAATTCCCAAACTGTTAAAAAATTCTCACTGAATTTTCCAGATTTTAGCATTGAAATATTATAAACTAGTGATCAAAGGATCTCTAACTGCGGTTTTACTGACACTATAAGTTCCACAATTACTGATTCCGTGGATTTTTCACATTTTTATTAACAATTTCAGTTGAATTATAGAACCCTACAGAAAATCCGAGAGATTTAGATCTAAAATTAAAGTTTCCGTTAAATTTTAAACTACAATCCATAAGATACTTTTTGTATTATGAAAGGAGAATTCTCCTGGGTTTCGTGGGTATTGAGAATTCCCGTATTATGGAATTTTCCGGGGCACTTGAAGTTTCATAGATTTTCCTCCACATTGCGCGATGAAAAATTCCATTGCAAATTTCTATGGCATTTTTTATTGAAAATACGTGAGCATCTCGCAGAAAATTAATTACCCACCCTGAGGGCCGAAAAAATCGAAAGGATGACCACCCAAATCTAATATTTGAAAACAAATATGCTAATCCGGTTGTTGTATAATTACACGTTGATTTCCGGAGTCGAGTCGTCAGGGGTTCTAAAGCGAAATAAATCCATAAGCATGAAGGAAGAGGCGTATATCTTATGCATGTGCATATTCTCACAATTTGCGTTAGCTAAATTTCTCAAAAAAGCAAATATCCTTATTTTCTTCAACAAAGCGACTAAAATATCGCCCTGTGGATGATGAAAATCTCCTGTCACTCTTACCGCAACAGTTTTTCGATGAGAATTTTTCCGAGAAATCCAGAGCCCCCGGTAATAAGAACTTCACATCCCGCATAAAATTCCGCAATATCACTGTGCCCTTGAGAATCCAATCCTGATGGCTCATTCACCTCTTTCTCCATGACCGACTGTTTGTTTCCCGTCGACATTTTCCCAATTTTCCTACCGAAAAATAAGAATCAAACGATCATTGAAAGACTGCATTAAAAAAAGAACAAGCAACGGGAAATACTGTATTCCACAGAGAAGAGGGAATTCTTGTTCACAGAAAAAAAATCACTTGTCTCCAATTGTTTTTCCCTCGATGCGTGCGATTTCTCTCTAATTGACGAACATTTTTTAGAATCGTCTGTCAAATATTGCGGAGGCAAAACGTTAATACACTTTTATTATTAGGAAAAAAAAAATTTGAGAAAAATGCGACTTACGCCCCTTTGATTTTATGACAGTGATATGATAAAATTTCTTTTAATAACGGATTTCCACTGGGCGGAAAAGTATTTTGAAACCGGTATTCAGAATATTTTTTAATCGATTTGATTGAAAATAATTTTTTTGAATCTACTGTAGCAATTACTGGAAATTAAAAATTCTCCCTTTTATTTAGGGAGAAATTCTTTAAACAAGTGAATCCTAGAATCCGAGTTCCTGCACAATGACGAAAAGTCTCCTTTATAAAAATATGAGAGTTAAAAAAAAGAAGAAAAATTATTGACTCCAGAATAAATTATCTGGAATTGAAAAATATCTGGGATATAGAGAAGTGAATTTTTAAATTTTCCAATTCAAAGTAAATTTTCTTTTTCAATGTTGGAAAAGAGATTGACCTCATGAGTTAAGGATTCTTATTTCTCTGCGTTAATTAGCGAAGAAAAACTGTCAAAAAAATTCACTCAAAAAAAACCTTCGAGTAGAATAATGAGTCTTATCAAATGTCCTACTAATATCGTACATAAACTCACGGAAATGACTCAGATAAGAGAAAAAAAACAACGTAATAGCCAGCAGTGCCGGCGGCCGAAGTGAATTCGACGACGAGTAAACGTAGACTGCAAATGTCTTCGACTTGACCGTTTGTTGAAAGCACACAAAATCATTACCATAGTATTCCCTCAACTTGAAGGAAAAGAACCGACGAAGACAACAAAATAGTTAAAAGTCAAAGTTGTCAATCGGAAGCCCCCACATTCGATGATTGTAATGCATTCGTTAACTCGTATCGAATAAATACGTAATAGATTCACATATAAATACCCAAAGTATTGGAGTAAAAGTATTATAATACCCCCGGAATAGTCCGACCTAATCCATAAATGTCAGACTTTGTCCCCCCAAAGTCTCTAGTCACTAGAATGTTAATTGTTCCTTACAAATGTAAATAAAAGAATGAACAAAGTTGCCGAAGGAGCCTCTTCCGAGGTCACAGTTGGAGTTTCATTTACTCCAGAAAGAGAGAAAAAAAATTTAATGCATTCAAACTTCTGGTGTATTATAAGGGTCAAATCCGTTCTCACCCCAGCGATGACTTTAAGATTTGCCACACGAGTTGCGAGTTGCTTCGGTAGGAAATCACTGTAATGAGAACATAAGTGAAAAAGTACGTAATGAGAACACGTAATTCCGACACTTGTGTACAAAATATCAAAATGCATTGACGTGCCATTAAGAATCGGGATTACGGATGAATTCATTGTTTCCGAGTTATATCGTTGCTTTTTATTTTTCTTTCATTCTTTTGTCAACGCGACAGGTCAAGTCCGTGATTTCTTCACATTGTTCCCCCAATCATCGGTCATGGAAAATAAAATTGCCCTCTGCTCGGAGATCTGATGTATCTCCTAGTGAACTCGACAGGTCAAGTAAATAATTCTTTAAATTATTCTACCGATGATCATTCAGTAATGACGTATTTCCTCTCTTTATTGAATAAAAATCAATGAAATCATGTACACTTGGAGTTTCGTTTCACGATCAACAAGTTTTCTCCCAGATTTATGTATCAATTCAACTAATTAGCACGTTGATGCTTATTTTCAAACAGTTTCCTCACAAAATCCGCGATAATCGATATATACAGTAGAAAATATCTCTTCAGTTTGGTTACAATAATCTAATTAAAGCCTATCAACAGTATTAATATTCGAATAAATAGTCCGTCATGATTAGCCACTGTCATCTGGGCTGCAGTATCCAGTGGTTCATATATTCTCCATATTTTCCAATCAAAAATAAAAATCAGGAAAATGCCAACCCATTGCACCACTGGCTGCACCGTAGAAACAAAACCCTGTCGAAATAGAAAAATATGCACATATTTACTTTAATAACATCATTATTCGTCTTGGAACATCCTCAATGGATCCTCGACAATTTTTTCAGCTGTTTTCTTTAAATCTCTAGTAACCGACTTCCTGACAGAAGGAGCTGCCTCCTTTGGCCCATCACTAACTCTCTTACAAAATATATCACCGCCATCAGAATAATTCCTATCATTGCCACCACCTCCAGAGTGGACTTCAGGTTTTTTTGTAGAGAATATATCATCATCCCCACTAGAAGGATCGCCGAATATATCCTCGAGTTTTGTCTTAGGAATTTTGCTGGTGGATGGGAACAGCGAGCTCTCTTTAAGCGAGTCTGATGGCTTCTCACTGGCATCGAAGAAGAGTTCCTCGTCGTCCTCCTCCTCCTCGTCACCAGGAAAACCTTTCAGCGAAAGCCTCGATGGGCTAGAGACTTCATCAGCGATTTCGTTGCACTCAGACTTACTGTGACTCCTCTTGCTGGACACTGAGCCAAAAAGGTCATCACCAGTGTTGTCTTCATCACTGTGGAGATCATCGAAAAGACTGGCCTTCTCCTTTACTGGTTTCTTTCCAATGGCTTTGGTGAAGGGACCAGAGAACAAGTCCCCACTGCTGTCGTCGTCTGCAAAGAGATCGAAAGTTTTCTTCGGTTTTGATTCACTCGATTTCTTTGCTGGGGCCTGGGAGAAGAGGCTGTCATCAACATCACCGGGTAACAGATCTTTAGGTTTTTCTGGAGATGGGGTCTTCGTTACAAAGGCGAAGAGTTGACTGGGATCTTTCAGGGCATCGCAAGATCTTCTCAGAGGATCTGAAACGTCAGAATCTTGGCTCTCAGAATTTTGTTCGCTCTTCTCAATCTTCTCGATTTTTTCAATCTTTTCTTTATTCTCTTTATTCTCTTTTTTTTCTTTGTTCTTTTTGGGGTCAGTCTCATCGAGGACTACTGGAGATAGAATGGGCGCACGACCGAATAAAATATCCTCCTTTTGGGGGTCCTCTGGCAAATCTGGGGGCACGTCAAACAAGTCTTCCTCGTCGGTCGAGGGGGATAACAACGTGTTCTTTGTTATGCTCATTGAACTTTCCTTGCCCAGGCTCAATTCAGATTTATCATCGGAAAGCAAGTTTGAGGGCTTCACGGGGTTCCCATCAGCTGGAGCTGCCAGTCTGTCAATTGCAGCTTCCTCGGGGTGGCTTGGACTCTCTGGAGCTGGGGGAGCCTCTGAAAGAGAGTCTCCTGAGTCTACGCTGTCAAAATCGATTCCACTGTGGCGTAGGGCTGAATGACGTGCTTGCCTGCTCTGGGGCCTTCGTTTTGCCGGAATTCTCGCACGACTCTGAAACATCATGAAGTTTTTTCATCTTTAGGTCTTCTATCTTCATTAATTTCGTTTATCAGTACATTCATTAATCATAATTCAATAGCGAAATGGTAATGGAAAATATTTGGGTAATCTAGAATCTTCTTTTCTTCGTCAAAATATTTTTTATCACAGAAATCAATTTTTTTATAAAGACATTTAATTTCTTTGAGAATCGATAAAATACCTTTGAAGCAATGGACAATGTTTCGACCTGCGCCGGAAGATCAAAACTCACTGCAGTTTCCGTATCAAGCACTGATGGAGATGACACCTCTCGGGTAGTGGAATCCTCTGCAACAAACCCACAAAAAATTACTTCCACCGACAAAAATCCCATACCGTCTGAAAATTCTACATTGCAATTTTTTCGGAAAATAATTATCGGTTTTTCAATATAAACAAGTGGAGAATTTCTCTTGCATTGTGTATAGTATACTTATTTTTTACCAATAAATTAGCGATACATTTTTATTGTTCAATTATTGTGAAATAAATCTTTTGCGTAATTTAATTTATACAATGATGATTAAATGAATACTACTCACTTGATGTGGCAGCTGTCGTAGTTGTCTGCGTCTTGCCCACACTTTGTACTGCTCCATCCTCAGCATCTCCATCAGGAGTGCCCGCCCTGTCCTCTCGTTTTTCCTCAGCCCTTCGGAGAACCGGTGGAGTATCCGTGGGGGAGAGAATCTTCAAATCCCCCATTTTCCCCATCAAGTTGGCGATTTTCCCGGATACCGCTCTCTTGGGTGCCCCAGACTCATCCGCAGGCCCTGGCAGTCGAATTCTCAAGCTCTTCGGTGGTTCTATTTTCGCAGCACTTGGATCTCCAGTGGATTTTTGTTTCGAAACCACTGGGCCATCTGTTGCGTTCTCTCCCTCTACCTCCTCAGGTGAAATGACAGTTTGGCTCACTCTTTTCTGTCCAAACAAACTGTCATCGTCACCCTCGTCGACATCTCCAAAGATCCCGCGGGCATCAGACACCCCAGATTTCTCATTTTTATCCGTCCCTCTTTTCTCATTTACCGTTGAATCATTTTTCCCTTCCTCTGCACCACTGGAAGCCGTTGCCAAAGATTTATCCCCAGTCTGAGACAAAAAAATAGCTCACATTACTATGAAAATGAAGTGGAAACAGTGGAGTAAAATGAAACGTCTTCAAATTACTTGAATAATTCAATTCAATATCTTTTTTCATCGAAGCAATAAAGAAATCGCGTATTCTGTTCTATTCCAGTCTATTATTTTTAAGCATTCGTTGTATTTTGAAAAAATGATTGAAATTGTTTAAAGTTCTCACCACATATTTCATGTAAAAAATTGAGTGTTGATAATAAAAGTACTTGTACACCTTGAATTTTATCCTACTGTATAAAAAACTATAAAAGATATAGCTTCTTGCACTATAATAATGTTGTGTGATTCACCTCAGCGAAATAGTCCGGACGACTTCAATCAGCAATGACAATAAATTCATTAATTCTCAAGATTTTTTACTAATAAATTTATTACAATAAATATTCAGGAGATACGTACAAACGGTGCGCACCAGATGGTCTTACATATGCTAAACCTTTACCGTTATTATTAATCGAAAGCGGCACGTCTTAAGAGACTGACAGTTTAATAAACGGCCAGAAAGATTAAAATTTCTAACGGAAAAATGGTAGCTCCTCCATTTAATGACCCTTCAATTTTCCGTTCACTTTACGCTTTAGTTTTTTGCCCAAAAAAACCGAAATTGTTCTAAAAACATGAACCTCAGAAGACTCACCATCAAACGTGATGATTTATAACAGTTTATTTTAATTTATAATGACTTTAACTAATTATGGTGAACTAACCATAATTGATTGTCAAATCTGCAATATAATTACAGTAAAATTGTATTGCAATGAAATTTACCGTAGGAATTTCCTTCACTGCACTGTTATCACTCATCCTGGGAGGAATTCTCCTTACGGTGAAGAGATCCTCGTCGTCGTCGTCGAAGAGATTATCGCTCGTGAATAATTTGGCGGAAGCCTTAACCCCTCGATTGGTGGATTTATCTGGCTCGTGTGACGTATGATCGAGTTTGGCCTGGTGGCCAGTGCCAGATTCAGCGAAAATGTCAATGTCCGGTGCAGATCGATTGAAAAATACGTCGACACCAGGATCGAAGAGGCGCGCACTTGTGGTGATCTTGGGTTTATCCGCGGAGTGACTACCACCCGCTTGATCCGCGCTCTTCTGCGAGCGCGATCCAGAACTCGTGTTCGAAAATAGATCGTCACCCGAATCTGAATCGTCGAATAGTGAGTTTACTTTGGACTTGGACTTGGAGTTGGTTTTTGGCAGTGGTGGAGGACCGAATACATCGTCACTGTCAAATATGTCTTCTTGGCGAGTGCTATCCTGGTGGCGTATCTCTTGCGCTTGGTTGTGAATTATGTGGCTGTCGTTTATCGAGTTTTGAGGATTTTCTAGGTGACGAGGCACCGGGTTGAACAGGCTATCGCTTGCTATACGTTCACGGTATATTTCTTCGGATAATAAACGAGTAGATTCCATCTGCGGCTCCCTGAAACAACATTTTGCGGAATAAACATTAGTGATTGAAGAGCCAAAAGGTAATAACGATGATTATTCCGTATTTAGAGGAATATCTCTTAATCAACGGGGATAGCGAATTTTTCGGTATTACCGATTTTGTAGAGGGTAAAATTTCACTGTTTGATGTCTAAATCTAAAAGAAATAGCAAAACTTTACTAAGTCATTGAAATAATAATAAATATACTTGACGCAACTAAATGCCTAGAATTTCCGCTAAATCCCCGATGAAATTCTTATCTTAAAGAATTTGTTTGGTACCAGGAAACTGAATTGGTAAAAATGATTTTTTTAGTGTACCGTCGACGCACGTGAATTTTTAGGGATTTGGGGGCTTCTGTAAGCAAATAAACGCGTCAAGGAGAATTTGGAAGTGATGGGGAGTGGGTGTTATAAAGAGACTTTCACGGACCAGTGGAAAGTGCATCTGAAAGCGAAACATGAGAGCTTTTGCTATTATCTGTGGAATGGTTCTGACGAATGCTGTTGTAATGGAAATCGCTGGTATGTGTTTATACGTACTGTTTATATTTTTTGGCTAAATGATTTATTAATTAGGTTTTTTCGATCTCTTACCGCAATTTTATTTGTACAAATCCCGTAATTTTCTGGGGAATACGAATCCGTTCATGTTTCTCATGATTAATGAAGTCTGCAAACGAAACGTGAGACGTCCACGATACAAAACTGGACACTTCATCTTCAGAGAAATTATTATAAGTGATGAGTAAGAGTAATAGAATTAAATAAAAACAATGAGAGATCTTCTTTCTAATTTGATAAAAAAAAGAGAATAATTCTGCTGCGAAGAGTTAAAAGATAACGAGTAAATCAATTTGGAAAATAGATGAAGCCATGAAAAAGCTCAGGAGGAACACTTGTTGTTCTTTAACGTTTTGATAATCAATTTAATTTACTCTTCAGCAGCTGAATGTGAATTTAAAGGTCAGAAACTGGCAGTTGGAACCCACAATATCTCATGCGGAGTGCTCACGTGTCACAGTGATGGCACCTCCTCTGCTGTAGGGTGAGTTGATGGGAATGATTTATTTTTCATTACTGTCTGGGCGAAATTTTTCTTAGCATTATAAAGAATCGGGTTTAATACTCGTGGAAAGTGTCCATAGGGAAAAATTTTTAAGGACAACGTCCTAAGTAAATAATAAATTCCTTCGGAGTCAGAGGGAATAATTCTGTAAATTTTGCTTCGTGAGACGATGGAATCTGTGATTTTAGGTGCGGAGATTACGCGTGTCCACCAGGAAAACAAATCGGGTACAAAGATCGGAATGACAGTAAAGTATACCCCGAATGCTGTGGCGGTCCCATTTGCGCGGAATAAAACCTAAATTAACGACATCGCTAACACCCACGTGGAAACTGATAAATCTCGATGGAGAAGACGTTTATGGACCTCTGGTTTTCCCTGACCATCATTCAGCATCATTTTCTGTACTACAACGCGTCTTTTTATTTACTTTATGTTAGTAAAAGATTCCACTTCATAAATGCAATTCCAACCATGTTTCAATACTGATTAAATCAATTCAGTCATGATTATACGATTGTTGAGAATATTTTTAGAATTCTTTGCATGAAAATGAATAATCTTGAAGATAGAAAACGTTTATGTACTTCTGATTCTTCGGAACGCTGCGGGATTTTCTCAACATTCGATTTATTTTACATCCGGGACGATGAGGATTTCTTTAATATTCAAAATTATTCATCTAAAGTCACATTTATGTTAAAAAATTGTTTTGTTTTCAATGAGAGAATAAATAAAATCCTTTGTTGAGACAAAAATTGTTAGTCATCTACTTGCGTTCACTTATTAAAAATTATTTGAAATGGTGAATAAAGTCTTTCAAATATTTCCCTTTTTTTACTAGAAAATTTTCGGAAAAGCGGCAACAGAGCACAATAAAAAATTATTGTAAAATTATTGCTGACATTCCGTGTAGGCGATATGGAATAACATTGCTTGCATCATTTTTATTAGTTGAAATTCTCAAAGAACAACATAGTCAACTGAAAAATACAGTAGCAAAGTGGAAAAATGAAATAAATAAAATTCAATATGTTCCTTAACTATGGATTTATCCCGAAACCTGGGGATTTAAAGACGTAACGCTAAATAACTTTTCTGTAGCTGATTAAATTTCCAACAAAAAAGCTCTCTCTATATTTTTTTCTAAAATCGAAAGTCTCTTAGATCAATCGAGATTTAACAAATCGAAATCTCTCTTTATGGAAATGAGATGCTAAGTTCCTTTCATAACGTCTGTTATGGGCTGCAGAAGGATTCGAACCTTCCTAAATTATAATGAAATTAAATTATAATGATTCCCTGAAAATGGAAAACATTTTGAAGTTCTTAGTGAGATGATTCATGATCTCTGGAGCTCCTGGAGGTTGACTCTCAGAATTTTTGATGTTATTAAAGATAAGTGTATTTAAACATCTTACATCACACATCTGAAATGCGAATGAAGAGATGATAAATCTTACCATCTCCGCATGTTTGTGAATTTCAATGTCAAAAACACAAGGTCTCATCAGCCAAGGATGTTCACTTCGTGTGTTTTATGGAATGTACACTAGTGTGGCTTCAAAGTGGCCATAGAGGGGGCATTATTATAAATAGAATCTTCACGATAATTCTCCATTAGTTGTTTCAGAAGTGTTGAGTAAACTCGTCAATATGAAGTACGGAGTGTTTTGTGCACTGGCACTTGTGATTGCCTTCATTGCTCAAACGAATGGTGAGTTTATTGATAGGAGAGTGGGACCCTAATTTTTATGATACGTTTTCAACAGCAATCTGCCACCAAGGAGACACGATTATGGAGACTGGAGAGCAAAGATATATCACATGTGGCATAGAAACATGCAAGGAGGATGGGAGTGTAGTCGGTGTTGGGTGAGATCTCATTACAATCCTCAATTTTTCTAATTGCAGCGCAATACTCAAATAAGATGAAATATTCTATTGATTGATAATGCATCTCGAAAATTTATTTGTCGTCAATTTGATTTCAGACGAAAACAGACTGTTATGTCCTCCTAGAATCGATTCTCTAGATTAATCGATATTCCATTAATATTTTTCAATAATAAAATAACTGAAATTCTACTTTCTTTACTCCCTGCGATTCCAAACTTTCCACGCAGAATTTTTATCGTGAGAAATTCCTTTTCATTTCTATTTTCTTATTGTTTTTTTAGTGAATATTTTGTAAAGTCTTTTAAAAAATCCATGGATTGCTGTGTAATATCGTAAAGTGGTGCTAAATGGATGAATAATTTCAGATGCGGACAATATCAATGTGCGGAGGGGAAACAAATTGGCTACAATGAAGGAGACAAAACGAAAGTTTATCCCGACTGTTGCAATGGTCCCATTTGCGCTGACTGATTCAATATCGTCCGCACATATCCGATACAATATTTCAGAGAAATAAATAAATAAATGTTGTTATCAACCTGTCAATGAATCCCACACCCAATGATTTCATCTCCGATCTTTTTTCAGAGGAACAATTCTATCTTTAACGATTATGTAATTATTTGCAATACGAAACTCATTAGAAACGATCGAATGAGATATCAGTACGAGTATTTTGGATAACGAAAAGAATTAGTTATCATAATTTTTGAGATGATAAGAATGAAAAAGGATTTTAAATTGGTGGAAAGCTTTTGCTCTCTTGATCTGATCGCACGATCTTTCAATTGTATTCTCACAAGTAATTACCATTTATCAATTGAAAAATATCTCGGAGAACATCTACAATAAATTATATGAAATTAAATTTGAATTGAGATTTTTCTCTCAATATCATCGCCTGAAAATCCTTGAAACTCCGGTCGAACGCATCGTTAAACGACAATTGCGTATTCATCTTACGCCGATCGACTGAAACTGATTGGAACTTAACGATGTGGGAGTTTGTTTCTTAATCAATTCCAATTAAATTGCATAAATGTTACTTTCGTTGAGCTTCTTCAAAAGAAAAATCATCAACGGTTCAGATAAATCGAGATTATTTCGAGACAATATTTACAATCTTGTTATGAACATTCAGTAAAAAATTGTGGATAACAAATCCTAAGAGGAAAACGATGCATTATTTAAACACAAACTGATATGGAGTGAATATTAAAAAAAACACCAAAATTTTTCGTTCCGTGCCCGGAATTTCAGGATCAATCCAGTAGCGAAGAGGTAAAGGATACCAAGTGGAGTTATTCCGTAGTCAAGTTTCCCGGGAATATTTCTGAATCTAAGAAAGATAGGGGATTTTTTGGTAAGATCTATTTTGTAAAGCAAAATGAGAACTAAAAAAATGTTTTTTATAAAAATTTCGCTATCTAATTACACAGAATATTCAGCTTGTTAGTCTTTACCTCTTGGTTACTGACTTATTTCTGGATGGAAACAGAATGACGCCTACACACTTTCAAATTCTTTAATTGAGCACTAATAACACAAAGTCTCAGAACGTCACAAGATCAATTTCTCTCTTCATTGATCAGAAGCCGTACGATACACTTATGAATCGTGTCCAAGAATTCGCATTCTAGGCTGCCTTCGAGTAATGTACAACAAAGATAGAGCAGTCACTATATAAAAGTGAGTCATCCACACGTTGTTGGAATATTAAATTACACAGTTAAAAGAGAATAATTGAAACGTTATACATAGAGAGAAAGAGTTTAGAAAAAAATGTCTGAGTGCATTCGAAACAATAATTACTGCTGATCAAGCAATTACTTGTGTAAAATATGAATGGAAAATTTGGAATCCCGCGAATATTTCATTTGCTGGTCAGAACTCATAAAACTATTGGGACTCACTATCAGTAAATTAAAAATTTTCACAGAAGAGTATTGAGGAGTCAAAAATGTTGTTCTCAAGTATCAGGAAAACAAGACGAGAAAAGAGTAAATTCTGATGAGAAGTAAAAGGTGAAGTTTTTAGTGTTTTTACTTCTCGGTTAGAAGAAATACTTTTCCCTAACACATTACACTCACATTCCTCAGGAATTCCGACATCTCGAAATTTTGTACTGTTCTATATTATTCAGAAACAAATCCTCAAAAAGGAGAAAAAGAAAACGTAAATACACTCACCCCAATCCTAAACTCATGCCCAATGTGCTGTTGCCACTGGTCGGATGAACGGATATTCCACTGCTGTCAGTGGTGATTTCATTGCGCTCCACCTGTAAATTCCCAGCAACTACACTTTCACTCGTATTCCCCACCGATGCAGTCGATCGGTTCTCATTCACATTGACCGATTCTTGATTATCCTTTTGAGGCTCGGCACTCTCATTCTCCGATGAGTCGGAAAAATCATTCCTAGCGCGATTGAAAAGTTTGCTACCAAGTGCAGAAGAAAGTAGGTCAGACTGATTGATAAGTATGCCAGGTGGTTTTCTCGATGTATTTCTTATGGCCTCTGGTGATCTATTCCTGACATTCTCGATTGGACTGAAGAGGCTGCTGTCGTCCTCGTCATCTTCAAAGAGATTGGGAATGGTATTGGTCTCTGGAGTGCTCGTCATGACGTTGTCCTCCTGTCCTTTAACCCTGTCCACTCGACCCTGCGGTCCCTCGGTCCCATCGGATTTACTCATGAATTTGGAATTGGGAGCGAAGATGTCGTCAGAGTCGTCGGACTCATTATCCCCGAAGAGATCGTCGATGGCAGATTTGGGTTTAGTGTCGACAGAGTTAATTGGTGGAGGTATATCCAGACTTGGAGGTATCATCGTGGGCCTGGGGGCAGGTTTGTCCTTCCAGAGGCCCTGGGAGGCCTCATCGAATAGTCCACCACGATCACTCAAGAGACTGCCACCCTTGGGGGCGAAGACACTGTCGGTTTCGTTGTCAGAGCCGAATAAATCATCTTTCGAGCGATTTATCGAAGCCTCGGGATCTCTCGTGTCCTCAAGAGGCTTCTGGACTGGCAGGACATTCCCTAGACGTTTTGCCAACTCTTCGGCGAAGCTTGGGCCCCTCTTGCTGTCCCTCGGAGGCCCAGTCGTTGGGGTCTCTATCTCAGACGTTGAATTCAGAGTATCTTGACTTCGCGTGTAAATCTTATCGGTTCTGGAGCTAACGCCATTTGTATGGCTCTTATCAAATTCACTGGAAGAGGTACTGGTGCTCCTCGAGGATCTTGATCCCAGGTTGGCTGAAGGGAAGGCCCTGGGGGGTGGAGTCTCCTCGGAGGACTCTGAGTCTTTTTCCTCCTCTGCCATCTCGGATTCGCTGCTGCTGGACTCTAGTCCGATTTTACTGGATGATCTCCATTTCTCTGAACCTATGACGTAGGGCAGTGGACGGTTTTGATAGGGATCCTGGGGCTTTAGGATTACACTCGGTGTAACTTCTGTTTCGTCTTCGCTTTCACTTGAGGCTAGCACTTCCACCCGTTCGTATTTTGCATCCATCACTGCTATACTTTGTCTGATGCTCTCGCTTACTACTGATATCATGTCAATTTCTGGGGAGCATTTCGTTGTTGGAGGACTCGAGAGGGATTTATCAGGTATTTCCTCCTCGTATACTCGGCTCTCGATGAATTGGGTGTTCGCCAGCGCCAGGGACACGTTCGTTACGTTGTCGATCATTATTGAACTCTCCTTTAGATCTTCCACCAGGGAGTCCAGGGAGGATTCCGTGGCTGACACTTTTGTTGTTATGTCCTGGAGGATATTACAGGTCAATTAGTACTAGTTCAATTGGCATTTAAAAAAAGATTATCACGAGTTCTAAAATTCATCAACTATTGGAGTGACATTTTTTAGGCCTACAGGAGGGATAACGAAATTTTTGTTATGATCTTTTTACATATTTCGTTTCATTCTACAAAAAAGGTGCTGCCAAAATTTCGCAACTTCTAGATTTAAAGATATCGTTCGAAAGTTCGGCTAGGGAACAATTCCCTCGTTGAGGCGATTTAGAAAAATCCACAAGAAACGATCAACTCCGGATGAGACCATGACGAAAATTACCTCCGAAAACTTCTGGAGATGCCTGTAGAGTCCCACATCGCAGGCAAGACTCCACCGTTCCTTGTGCTTTCTCATTTCATCGGTGCTCCAAGGGCGATCCCAGTGCCGGTCCCCGGCATCAGAAGACGTTGGTTCATCCTGAAAAATTATCCCCGAGGTTATGTCAATGCTATCCATTTCAAATCGAACGCAAATATCCGCCAACAATTAATTAAATTCCCGGATCAATCAGCACACGAAAAACAAATTAACAATCGACAACTTACCATTATAACAGCTAAAGAATCATCGGTGCACCTTTACAGATGGAAGATGAATCACTGGAGCAATCACGCGCGATTCATCGTTAATCCTCGACGAGGGTGAAGTGACAAAATCATTTGATAACACCGCGTACAAAACACCCACTCTCGATTGCTCTCGATCCATCAGCTATCGAATACCTTTGCTGTCAATTTCTAATGTTGGTAGTGATGGAGAACTGGCTTCACACCGTAGGAAAAGCCCTTTCACTATTGTTGCTTTGGTTATTGATTTTCCCGGTCCCTGAAAAACGCACAAAAGTCACCAGTCGATGCCTCTGTCACGGATAAAGGTGTAAATATTTTGGAAATCCATCGAAATGAATCGTCCTGGTGGTCTGTGATCGGGGACATGATTGTGCAGTGGATCTTTCGGGTGATAGATGACAGAAAACGTCAATAGTTGGGGATGGAAAACGAACATATTAAGAGGCTCTTACTACCCGACGAGGAGACTCTTGTCGAACAGATCATAAGGTATGGCCTTTATGTCGGGGCTGTCTTCCAAGTTATCTGCATTTTAACTGTCGCAATCTATCATAATTGGCCAGGCGATGGTTTCTCCTCACTCAAGGTAATTTCTTTTGTTTTTTTTTTATTGTTGGGCTCCAACCCTAGCTAGAGGATAGACGACTTGTTTTCACTTTTTTATGATTCTCAAATAAAATCGGCAGTTATGAGGTCAAATCAGAGAATAATTTATAAATATACGAATTCACTAAATATCCACTCAAAAAACGGTTCATTTTGGGATTAACATTTATTTTCGTAATTCAAATGATACCTATCGATTTTTCGTGAATAATCAACAAAGAGGTTTTTTTTTTTATTTCAGAAGTATTTTATTCAAAATAATGCATTAAAGAATTAATCCCATTTAGTATTTTTTCCATACACTTTACGACACGAAGATTCTATAAATTTCAATGAATGTATAAAAAGGAAATGTTTGGGAAAAAATAATTCATGATAGAATTTTTTAATATTTGCTTCATCGTACGTTTTTACAGGATGATCCAACGAGTGATGTCGACTGCTCCGAAAGCAGTCCACAGGTGACGCCGAGGAAGCCTCATCGTGGCCGAAAACAGGAGAAAAAGAAGAGACGTTGAAATATATCATCCTCATGCCAATTACGAGGAATTATTCAGATCACTAATGTAACTTACCTTTGAATTAACTGTACTTAATGATCACTTCAGTTCAACACTTTTGTATCTAATATGAATATTTATATGAGAGGTGGAGAAATATCGACTTTATCAACGAATCAATCTCTATGTATTGTTGTATTGACTGATTTTATTGACAATAGAAAATAGGGAGTAAGATACGCAATGAAAATCAAACAAACGCGTTGTTTATTTTGGAATTATCCCTGTCGTTATTGAATTGTTTATTTAATAACAATCCAAGTGCTTTTGTTTATATATATTATTACAAGACAGATTTTTTCCTTCCCACATGACATTTTTTCGGCCCCAATGGAATTAATTATCTAATTTTTTTTTCATTAATTAAATAACATGAGATTAATTATGAACGTGCATTGCATTCTCCATATTTTATTTTTTTTTAATATCGATTGATATTAAAAGTTATTAATTTTAGGAAAAAATATCAAGAGATTATAAAATAATATATAAAAAAGTTTTTAATGTTTCCACATCAAAATCGAGAGTTTTCGCGATAAATCACTGACTGAATATTAATTATCTCTTTTCACCGATTTATTGCGGGGAAAATTCATTTCAAAAGTGGAAGTTGTCAGCACTGACGTCTGAACTGTTAATATCAAATTTGACAAATTATAATTGATCACAACAATACAGAGTGCGGGGTGGCTAGAATGTAAACGTGAGCACTTGAGCAGTTACCGGGTTACTTTCTACTTGCCTTATTTTTCCCCTTGAAATGACCGAATTTACTTTCTGCACGGTTAACTGATACTATCAGCAGATTAATTCCATGAAAATGCCACAACCGGAGGAGCTTCTGACACCGGAGCAGATCCTCGTGGAGGTTAGGAAGTTCATACCAGAATCAGTGAAGAAATGTCAACACACGAATGTGTACAAAGTGACCAAAGGGGCCTTGACACTCCTCAGGAACTTACCTGGGGCAAGGGAGGCTGTACTAGAGTACCTCAGGAAAGTCTTCTTCTTCGCTGTCAACAGACAAAACCGTCACATGGAGGTTATTCTCGTTATTTTTCCCAACATGACCACTGGAGCCCCAGTATTTCCTTTTTGATGATTCCTGCAATCCTACGAAAATTGACATATTTTTTTTACTCCAGATATATCCACCTCAGCCTCTTGGAGATGAACCCACGATGAACGTGACAGTACCAGAAATTCATGGAGTTTTAAGTGAAATTGTCGAAGAAAGTCCTGCTGCATGGGCTCCACTTGTTGCTACGTGGTCCCTCGATCTCCTGGGTAAATTGTTTATTCACATTTTTTTTTAGTTCATCAGCTCGTTGAATTACTAGTTTTACTTGGATTTATGTAATATTTCTTACAAGGAACCCTATGAATAATTCAAACACTCTCTGTGAAAAAAGAATTTCAGACGTCTCCTCTGCATGGAAAATCAGTTGCAACTCTGTAATTAAATCCATAACCAATTCTGTATTTTGGTCATAATATTATTGATTGAATCGTTAAAAAAATTGTTATAAACTAACGAAAAATAACAAATTGTTTATTCGGTCAATGATCATATAAAAAAATGACCATCACGCCGATGAGATGAGCCGATTCGATATTAACATAAATATAAATTTTGCAAGTAAATGACGGAACTCTGATTTATGTCACTACCCAGGAAAACTCTCTTGGACGTACTCAAAACGCAGCAATCCCCCAAGTCTGACGATAAATGACGACTTGAAACACTGGCTGTCATTTCGAACAACAAGAATTCTAATCGATCTCTCAGCAAGATGTATCAGATGCCTCTCAGAGCCAGAAGCTGACTCCTGCATGAACGTCCTCACTGAGTCAATCACCAGTTACTATCCTTTTTTCAATTGGGTGGTTGCTCACGTGGGCACGTGCTTCCCGAATCTCGTCATCAACAAGGTGCTCCTGTGGGGCTTGAAGGACTTCTCAGAGACAGGTTCCCAGCAGAGCTCTCCTCGTACTCTAAGCTCCGTGGTGGGCATCCTGGGGCACCTGGCAGGTAGTAACTTCTACGATATCCGTGAGTCTCTGCTGAGCCTCTTCAAATGGAGCCTGGACGAGAACCTGTCAGATGACGACCAAATAAGAAAACAAAAAGTGGCAACAGTGCCATTCCTTTTGAAGCTCGCATCAATGTCCCAACTCCTGCTGAAGATCATAACAACAGTAGTTCTGCAGACATTGTTCCCTGTCCGTCCAGACGTAATTCCACGTCTGGCAGTATTCGCCCCAGACTGGTGCAACTATTTCGAGAACCAACCAAAAATACTCCTGGAAGTCACAGTGCACTCCATCCTAGCGTGTGAGCAGGGGGCTTGGCAGATCATTTCAATCCTCCTGGACACGAGCCTGAGCACAAGTAACGTGGGTTATCACGGTGTTAATGCAGCCCTGGCAGTCAAGAATGTCTGCCGGGAGATTCTCGAGATGATTATTCAGGAGGTAGACCTGCAGATGAAGCTGAAAGGAGCCCACAACACAGGGATAGCCCTACTGTCGTCAATAAAACAGGATTTGTGCTTGATTGAGCCCCTCCTCCTGGACCCCCACCCACTGAGGGTGCAAACAGCTGTGAGACTGATCTCACTCCTGGGAGCGCAGAGCCCCAATGTTGTGATCTCGTCAGGATCCGGAGTACTCAGAAATGCAACGAACACTTTTCACCTAGCAGCATTGGTTCGTCTGATGGCTGAGAACCTCACAGTGTTTCCTGCCATTAAGCCAGAGCCTGAGAATCCCCTCTCCGGCCACGGTTACTTCACTCAAACCCTCGAGCAGGCCCTCAGGGACATCCAGTACTCCCCCAGCTCCAGGGAGCACGAGGCAAGACAACTCTTCAAGAACATTGCGACGTTGTTGAAGTGGGAAAACTCGAGAAAAGTACAGATACTGAAGTCCAAATTAATTTCTCGTGGGATTCATTCGAATCTCTCTCAGATATCGTCATTGCTTATGAAGACTGAGGATCTCCTGTTGACCCACGATATCGTGGAAACCCTGGACCACCTGTCAATCCAGGATAAGCATCAGTACACCCACAGTGTTGATTTACTTCTCAGACTGACGAGAGCAATCGTCAGGTATTTTTTCATTTGTATTCGAGAGGAGGACGTTATCAGGAAGTATCGTGGCATTAAAATAGTCAACAGATTGTTAACACTGATGGCGATGACGTCGCCCTGTGCCAGAGTCCTGGCGATCAGGGAGTTGGTGGAAAATGGAATATACGGAGATCCTGCAAAATACTTCGGCGCTAAAGTCTCACCGCCGAATGACTCCAAGGATTATCTTCTTCTGGAGCATAATCACAAGCATGGCACCTCAGTGATGCTGGCGCAAAGACACTCCTCTGTGTTTCATGCTGGAGTAATTGGCGAGGGGCCCAGGAGATCTGTCCCTGAAAATTCTTTCGACAAAGACACAATATCGATGAACAGTGTTTTGCTGGTGGACGCCATCAAGTCTTGCTGCACCAACGAGGAAGTCAGTCCCCATCCAAATTTAGATGCTATGACATCTGTCAGTCTCTTGCTGGTGGAGCTGGTGTCTCCTGATGTTATGTACAATGGTTTGCCCTGGCCTGACGAGGAGTTCATCAAGGTCACAGTGGAGAGGGATCTCCAGATTCGAAGGACCTTCAAAGATGTTCCCGTCCTCTGGACTCTGCTGGAGCTCACTGCGAGGCATCGACCAGCTCTCGCCTATTCGTCGGTTTTACTCAGAGGAATTGCGGCTACTGTCATGGCTAATTGGAGTATTAATGAGGGGACGAGGCTAGTTGATGTGATGGCACTTGGGCAGCTGCTTCCACCACCTCTCAACTGCCTCAGGGATGTCCTAGCCATTCTCACACCCAGTCAGATTAATACTGTCATGAAAGAGTGCGTCTGGGCGTACATGCATGAGAACGTGCCTTCTCCTGCTTTATTCACACTCACTGAAGGGGCTAGCATCGCCTGGAGGGACACTGAGATGTCAGCTCCTGGTGCCAGATTCACCGAGACCCTTCGGCTCATTCTTTTACCTAATATCGCAAAGACTGGCTCCCTCTATCATACTTTATTTTACAACGAGCATAAGTGATGATTAAGCCTCTAATGTATTTTTTGTAAATATATGACGGTTAAGGAGGTTTTTTTTGCAAGAAAAATTTCATGCAACCTGTCAAATATAATGCAAATAAATTCGAAAAAATCATTCTGACATTTCAAACCGGTAATGAAACCGTTGGACGGTTCAAGTTAATTTCAATTGTCGGTGGTTTAATTGAATATTTCGGAATTTAGAGCAAACATGGAAATTTGTAATGGAATCTTTTTTGTAGAGTTAATTGAGGAGTAGGGTAAAGGATAGTCCTAAAAGTCCGCTAGTCTTTTTCGATTCGGACATTCGTTATTTTACACGAAAGTCGATGGAAACATTCTTCAAATAATTTTAGCAACTTAAAGAATTCACTGGAAGCATTTTTTTCTATAGGTTTTTATTGCTATTATCCGAATGAAAAATGACAGAAATAAAAATTACTTTAAGAAATTGAAATAAACTGAGAAAAAAAGGTTCTAATAGAATTTTAAAATTGTTACTGGGGTTAAAAATTTTAGGATGATTTTCATTGATTTATTTATTTGAAGTATATTTCAGAGAAGGCACGAAAGAATTCTTGGAGAAAAACTGTCAACGACTGTAATTGTACATTTGATCTGTAAGAATAAAAATTTTTCAAGATTTCTCTGGGCTTTGTTCAGTGGAAAGAAAGACACAGCGATTTTCATTCAGTTTTTATAAAATCAACGGTTGTTCGTGGATAAATGAATACAAAGAGAGAATACATATTAAAATTAATTTAATTTGTATTATCAATGAGAACAGTGAACGATGATACAGGAGGGATATTACCTAGATGAGAACAATTGTCATCCTAATTCAACTGACTCCTCACCTCGTCCTGTGAAAATTCTCTCAAATGCACAGAGCACTGCAATATTTTTATTCTAACTATTGAGTATGATCTTCATGATTCTAACCGATTCATAGACTCTTTGCATATCCATTTCTCCCTGTGCACTCGTTTATTCATCCCAATATCCAGCTTCAAGTAGAAAAAAATTCGCCATTCATTCCTGGCATTTCTGTTAAATCCTATGTACAATGACATTTATAATAAATTTCCTGTCTGAGTGATCGTGGAAGACACTCATCTGCCAATAAATTGGCATTCTCAGGGCTCCAACAATGTTAACCGTGAAATTAAATTAAGAAATGAAAAATGTTCACCGAGTGGAGGAAATCGAGAATCAAAATTACATCTGCCTTAAGTGAATAATTGAACGGTGACATTTTCACTCTTCTCGAAGGAAAAATAGTCATCGAGGATTGCACGCAGTGCTGAGCGTTATACCCATTCACACGACGATATATTTTCACTTAATAAATTATCATTGATGCAGTCCTTTTGTTGTAAAAAAAGATAATTCACTCTTCAAGTCTATTGGATGGTGACTTTTAGAATAGTAGCGTGCTCATTCCACCCATTTCACTCTGTTCCTTCACGAATATTTCGAAGTACTGGTAGATGATTGTTACTGCGAGGAGAATACCAGTGCCCGATCCAATTGCACCTAGGAAATCAGCGAGCACTGATAACGCACCGATGCAGAGACCACCGAATGCAGCTGCCGTAGGGATGTAACGATTCAGTTCGTGGATCATCGAGTTGTCACGATGTCCCCTCATCACCATCTGCTGTTCCTTGAGCTGTTTGGCAACATCTTTGGCAGAACTTCCCGAAACCTCGATCCACGTTTTCGAGAAGAATGCACATGACCCCAGCATGAAGATAATGTAGAGGACAGCGTGGACTGGATCCTGGACGATGTGACCAACTGATTCTGGTGGGGACAGATAATAGCAGAGACCTCCCACTGGGTAGGATCTCGCTGGGCCACCACCTCCAACATCAGACCACACTCCCAGAAGATTTACTATCAGATTTCCATGGAATTTCACAGCCAACATTTGTGAGATAACGTAGAGATTAGAGACGAGAGCTGACTGCAGAATGATGGGGATGTTACTGGTGTAGAAGAGCTTGATTGGATAGCTGCTGTACTGGCCACGGTATCTCGTGGATTTAATGGGCAGATCTACTCTGAATCCCTGGAAGTATATAACTATAGCAAAGACGAGAATGGTGGCAAGTAGATTCATCAAGTTGGGAAGATTCTGACGATAGAAAGCCTCTCTGAGAGCCCTGACTTTGTCCTGTCTGGTTGCCAACAGATGGAACAGGGCTATCACAGCACCTTCGAACTCAGTTCCACGACCGGTGTTGACAGTGGCTGGTGAGAAGGCCTTCCACACGATTGTCTCGCAGATATTTGTGGCGATGAACAGAGAAATACCACTGCCCAGACCATAGCCCTTCTGGAGGAGTTCGTCGAGTAGTAGAACGATCAGACCAGCGACGAAAAGCTGAATGATGATCAGCAGACAGACACCAGCTCCAATTTCAGCTGGGTCTCCGTACATTCCTGTCATCACGTAGACGATAGCTTGACCCACAGTGATTACCATACCGAATACTGAAATGTTTTTTGTGGAATGAAATTTTGTGGAACGGGAGAAGTAAAGGAAAAAAAGAACGGAATTATAATTCTCCCGTTATCGTAATATACTGAAGAAAAACTCTTCTCTCAGCGCATATTCTCAATCACCTCAACACTGATAAGAGAATTTCAAGAGAAATCATGAATGGCACATTAAAAAACCGAAAATATGGAGTAATTATTTAGAATAATTCTTACATTTCTGTGCTCCATTGAATAATGCCCGATCCTTCGGTGTATCTCCAACCTCAATAATCTTGGCTCCAGCTAGCAATTGCATGATGAGCCCGGAGGTAACAATGGGAGAAATACCAAGTTCCATAAGTGTGCCCCTGTTGGAAGCCAGAATAACACGAATCCAGTAGAAAGGATCGGCACTGTCCGAGGACATGATCCCAAACAGTGGAATCTGAAAAACCAATACTGTTGTCAAACATCTGGAACTCAGACAAAGTCTTGAGATAAAATCGTGACGTAGCCACTGACCTGGCAGCAGACGAGGAAGATGAAGAGAGTTATTGCAGTCCATAGCACCTTTTCTCTGAATTGAATCTGAAAAAAAAATCTCAATCATAATCAAACCCAATTTCCCGAGGTGTGGGAGAAATCAAAACATAACGGTATCGGAAAAGTAGCAGAGATACTCCAAAAATAAATTTCCTTACCTTTCGCTGTGGCTTCGCTATTTCCGGGAGAATGCTGCAGAATGGCTTTATCACCTCCAAAAATTTGACTGAAATAATCGAATGGATTAGATTCTCAATATGCTCTCAATGGTGCCCACAATTCTCGGAAAATCTGAGGGCTTCATGACAGATTATTTCTGATGATTAAATTATTGTGAATTACTTACTCCCCATGGTGACTCCGTTATTTCCTCCTCGTCGTTATATTCCGTGTTTCAACGATGCAGCGATCGATTCGCTGGGTAAATTCTGTCAAAAAATTTGATTATTCCTTAATAACTCGTGGCACTGTACTGAAGACACCGGAATAGTGAATGACTGGAGTGGAATAAACGCCTGGTATGAAACACACGAAACTAACGAATCGTGGCTCACCTCGACGACACGTATCAATACCATGTGGTCACGTGACTTGATGATGTTGGCCGACGAACTCGCCGGCACATCGCCGCAACATACCACGACAATTATCACTTGGCACGTCAGATGGCGTCATTTGCGCATGCGTACATCCCTGCCGCGAAATAGCACGAGTTATTTGAAAGTTGTTGTTATTGCGGTTCCTGCCATTGGCCTTGAAAATTAATCATGCATCTATGGTCGAGGTTTTTCACACTCTGATGGCTGAAAATGAGAAAATGGCAATCTGAAGGAATCAGCAGGACCCACTGACGAGATTGTTGGAGAACATTTTTGGTTGGCCAATTGAAATTTATTCGGAATTATCCAACAGGCCTGATATTTTTTTTCAAAAAATTTCTCAAATTTTTTACAACATTCTTGGAAATTGGTAGATTTTATAATAAATAGAGGTAAAATTACCGATTTCTAGAAAATTCATGCGACTTCTCTTTTTAAAATAAAACTACAAAATTTCCCGAGTGACGGAAAAATTCCCCCGATTGTTTAGTGGATGCGGGGAAGTCCTGTAAGACGCAGTGAATTTCGAAAAGATCTCACGAGAAAAATTTTCTGCATACAAAAAATGAAGAAATAAGCACACTGCGATTTTTTAAACAAACAATAGACATGTGCATATAAAAAGCTAATTATTTATCCGATTGTATTTTTTAGCGAAAATTTTCACAGTATAAAAATAATTTTTGAGTGTCGGCAGCTTGCAGTCGGTGCAAACATTTTTTTTCACCAGTTGAAGCAATATTTTCGGTAATGAATTAATTTTTGTTTATGTTTACAGTGAAGATGATGAGTGCGGCAGGACGAAGCATTTAAATCCCCGGAATTCGGGAAAATCATTGAAACTCGTTTTGCTCGACTGGTTAGTGAATGTAGAAGTAGCGAATTGCGGTGTTTTGTGGACCTGTAAAACTCATTTTTACAAGGTTTTCCCCATTGTTAAGATATAAAAGTAAACGATTTCCTTCGGGGACTGCTCAGTTTTCCTACGTCGGGTGGAAGGTGTGGATTTTCGTAAATAATAAATTAATAATGAATACCTTAGTGTTCGTGATCTCTGTGACAATCCTCGGTATTCACGGACAGTAAGTAAAAGTCAGAATAGTAGGGGAAGTTGAGTCATATGGACACACAATTTTTTTTCGCAAATTTCATTCAATTGTCAATGAATCGGTACTATACGATATTTAATTTCCCCGATGCCACTTTCACCTCTTTCGACCAACAGAAATCAGAATATGCAGCATCAGATTATATCTTTATTATGTAACAGATACTATGATAGTAAAATTCCAGGTTGAAAAATAATTAATAGTCCGTTAAAGCCTTTCTTCGCCATTAACAAAATATCCTCAGATGTATGTCACATATTTTCTTCATTTTCTTATTTGTTATTGTACCGAAAACTGAACAAAACTTCTTTCACGATAATGTATCACAAAATATTGCCAAATAAATTGACTTATTACAAGATAGTCCACAGCTTTTTAATGCAAATACTTATATACTTTTTTATTAATCATCGTTTAAATATAATTGAATTTCTTTTCCATTACAATTCGGGAATCTTGATCTGGATTAATTTATTTCTAAGCTACAAATATTAAAATAATTTCTAGTCTTCATATTTTTTCTTCAAAAAAATGTACCGAGCGTACCGCATGCCTCATGGATTCGTACACTACGATAAGTGAATGTTTTCAAGCTTTTATTTTTTCGAATTGCTTACATGTCGTGAATCATTAATCGATTAAACCGAAAAATGCACTTATCCTAGTTTTTATCAATAATTCCATATATCATCTCGCTATACGACCTGATAATTTGCGTCAGTAACAGGGATTGAATTAGCGGACACAGATGTAGTAGAAATTCTCGGCGGGATTAGCTTTAATCATCGAAAAAAATAATTTCGTTGTGATATATTTTCTCCAATGACATCTGCACGTGATTATGTAAATTCCTTCTATCTTTGAATGTTAATTTTCCTCCTCACCATCCAAAATTTGAGTTGCTCTTGGGGGAGGAGATAATGGGTGATAGGAGGATCTTCTTAAAAGGGGAGATTATGAGGGATTTAATCTCTGTGACATAACACCTTGTACATGCGACTGTGAGTGTAGCAATTGGTCTGCTACAACGCTTATAAATATCGGACACGACCAATTGAAGTCACAAGTTTCCTTCACCAGTCGACAGATCCAGTCTCTAAGACGACTGCCATAGAAACTTCATTAAATAGTTCCGAAGATGTAAATATCTTTTAAAAACCCACCAATAGATCGGCATATTCTTGTTCATTTATCTGAAATTGTTACTCTAATTGCTAGCGTGAGTAGTAATTAATCGAATTTTTCCTTTGTTCAGGGCCTCCAATATCAGTATCGAACAAGTGGCAGGGCCTTATGATCTCGGTGAAGGGCCTCACTGGGACGAGGACAACAGTCTTCTGTATTTCGTGGATATTCACGCCAAGAAGTTCTTCGCTTTCGATCCTTCCACGAAGAATGTCACTGAAACATATATAAGTATGAATAAAAATCATTTTATAGGTCTTCAACTTTCAAAACGATTATTTTCAAGAATGCAGTCAGTGTCTAGTGTTTTAAGAATTTTCAGAAGCCGCTGCATCTGTCTCATGATCTTGAGAATTTTAATTCATTCTCACCACTTTCCTGAATTTGTACGATTTTTTAATGATATCACATAAAGAGTTCAAGTTATTTCTCTTGAAGTTCATTAGATCAATTGATTCTTGAAAAATGCAATATATCAGATATTAGATATTTGATAACTGATTGAATCCCTGATTCCTCCAGAGAATGGACCAGTGGGAGTAGCTGTCCCCATAGCCGATCAGAAGAACACATTCATAGCTGGAGCTGGTAAAGACCTAGTGGAAGTCCAATGGGACCCTTCGACGAGCAATCCAGATCCAGAAGTGAAGGTGTTGTCCACGGTGGACGCCGATCGTGCCAATAACAGATTCAACGACGGCAAGGTCGATCCAGCTGGACGCTTCTGGGCTGGAACCATGTCCGAAAAGGATGATCAGGTCGCTGACAATCAGGGGGCTCTTTACAGATTTCAAGAGGATGGAACACCCGTCAAAGTTCTCGATGGCGTAACCATCAGCAACGGTCTTTGCTGGAGCCACGATAACGAGATCTTCTATTACATCGATTCACCGACCCACGAAGTTGTTGCGTATAATTACGACGTGGACTCTGGAGATATCTGTGAGTAGATAAAAAAAAAGTACGATTAAATGGAAAGTACCATACGCAGAGAATTATCTGTGTTATGGCTGATTATTCTTTAATTAGCTTTCATTGCCACTGGAATAACTGACAAATATTTTGGCTCTCGTTTTTAGCGAATAAGCGGGTGATCTTCAATTTCAAGGAGAATGATGTACCCGGTGTACCAGACGGCATGACCATTGATAAGGATGGACATCTATGGGTCGCTGTTTGGGACGGAGCAAGGGTAATTATCCAATTTTTTTTATTCCTAATAAAAGTATTATACTTATTGAAATTCAAGTTTTCCATTTTTTGTGTTATTTCCACCAATTTTTACAAACTTTATCTCCAATTCGTAATTTGTAAATTCAAGATTTTTTTATTTGAGTGGTTTTATTATCTGAATGACTTGAATGCGAAAATGTCCCTCGAATGTTTCAGATCCTGGAGATTGACCCGGAGACGCAGAAGCTGCTGAGGACGGTGACGATGCCAGCGGCAAGAATCACGAGTGCAGCGTTCGGTGGACCTGAATACGACGTTCTGTACGTGACATCAGCAAAGCACGGGCTCTCCACTGCTGATCTGGAGAAACAGCCTGCAGCTGGATATGTCTTCGCAATTCACGGTCTTGGGACATCAGGTGTAAAGCCCCTCAATGCTAAAATGTAAAACTGGAGGAAGAATAAATGATTTATTGAGTGTGTTATGTTATTTGCGATGCTGCCGCCTTCCACATTGAATTCGATAAAAAACTGTTAAAATATCAATAAATTAAATGTTTTACTCTACAGATATTTTATTTTCAAATTTTCGGATTAGTTGTTGCAACTATTGAGCTAGTGGTGTTGCCAATGACATTCTCGGAAATTGTTATTAACATATCGTCAACAGATAATATTCGAACTGCTTTAATTTACTCTTAATTACCCTGCATTAAAACTCAAGTGACGGGGCGATAGACGACACATATATCATTTCAGGCTAAATTATTTCGACGGAGATAAAAATAGACCTTATCTATGTGCGAAGTATAAATTTCCGGATTCTAAAGGTATGACATCAGTCATTTCTGAGGTGAGAAGTCTTTCGGTCATGACGAATTTATGGATTTTGGTCCTGGGACTGGCGGTGGTGGAGGCGAGTCGAGATCAAAAGCAGTATGTATTATGGATTGTATGATGTTTATCCCTGGTGGGGACATCGCTGCAGTATTTTTCTCATTATTAATTCGTAAATGATAAATACTCAACTCGGTATGAACTCGAGATACTAATGTTCATGAGTTGATCCATCAGCTCAGGAAAATTGATAAATATTTTCGCGATATTGTGGCTTAGGATAAAACAAAATTGATAAGGGAATGTTCATGAAATATTTTTGATTATTAAGGAGAGAATTGAGAATAGTTCCAGTGACCGAGCCCCATGTGCTATCTGAAGGTCCTCATTGGGACAGAGCTACTCAAGTTCTCTATTTCGTAGATATCACGAGTCAGAAAATTATGCGTTTGAACCCAAGGACCAGTGAAGTTACTGAGGCATACATAAGTGAGTTATAATCCGTGGAATTTCATAATCGAGAAACTCTAATTTGTCGGTAGATGAATATCTCTGGATCTATGAAAGATAAAAAAATGGTTGCAAAACCTTTTTTGTAGCTCTCACTAAATTCTACAAAAGAACCTTTATCGAAAATTTCGTTATTTCTCATGGGTTCAGAGGTATTTTCTCATTTTTACCAAAGTCCGAGGAAATTTGAAGAGAATTCGTGTAGATTTCCAATAAATATGCAACAGAAGTTCGTGAGAGTACCGGGTGTTCTGAATAATTTCATGCGTGACGAGCAGACTATAGCTTCTTCGACGCTTTCAAACTATTCAGAATGAACTTCTAAGCAAATTGGGAAAAATTTCTTCATGGATCATTGGGCCAATTTCTTTCCAGAGAACGGCCCAGTGGGAGTGTTTGTCCCCGTCGCTGGTAGAAACAACACATTCTGGGCTGGAAGTGGCACAGATCTTGTGGAAGTTCAGTGGAACCCCAAGTACAACGATCCAAATCCCAGAATCAGGGTTCTATCCAGGATCGACAAGGACCGCAATTTCACTCGATTCAACGATGGAAAAGTGGATCCAGCCGGACGCTTCTGGGCCGGTTCTTTGGGCTCAAAGGGAAATCAAGCACTCGATAACTTGGGATCTTTGTACAGATTCTCACCTAATGGAACTCCCACGAGAATCATCTCACCAGTGTCCATCAGCAATGGACTCTGCTGGAGTCATGATAATTCAACCTTTTACTACATCGATTCACCTACTCTCCAGGTCGTCGCGTACAACTACAATGTTTCTACTGGGAATATCTGTATGCTACAACAAATGCTGTTTACCTTCAGATTATGTCAAACTCATGTATTTGTTTTCAGCTAATAAGAGAGTTGTTTTTACTCTCAAGAAAATTCATAAGGATGAAGTCCCTGATGGCATGACTATTGATGCACAAGGACACCTATGGGTGGCGATACATTCCGGTGGACGAGTAAGCAAAGTTTTTTGAGTAATACTTTTTTTTTGTTTAAAAGACAATCTGTTTTCGAAAATATATAGATAAAAAATTGACTTTTTTCTGTAAAAATTGATTCTCAATAATCTGAACCAAACTGCCATTCCGGAATGTGTCGAAGTGAAAAGCAATTTTTTTTTTAAAAAGGAAAACAAGATTTTTTCAATCCTCACGTTGCAATCAATATTTTTCCAGGTAATCCAGGTTGACCCTAAGACCGGAAAAGAAATCAGAGCCGTGAAGTTGCCAGTGATGGCAGTGACAAGTGTAGCTTTTGGTGGTCCCAATCTTGACGTTCTCTATGTGACATCAGGAAGGGAGGGCCTCTCCAGGAGGCAACTTCGAAGGCAACCCTTAGCAGGCTCGGTTTTCGCAGTGCACGGCCTCGGAACCACTGGAGCTCCGATGTTAAATGTCAAAATATGAACATCAAATTGAATAACTCCATACGACAAATTAAAGAATAATTTAATCGGTACATGTTTATTGAAGTGAACAGTTGTCATACAAATTCTCGAGGTTTGATTAAACTATTTTACATTATTCGATAAATTGTTTGTGATTAGAAAACAGGCTGTAATATCAGTATTGAGTCAGTCATACAGAGGAAGAATTAGAAGATCGTTCGATAAATCGTTGGAGCAGCAGAGATTTACACTTTGTGGTAATTTCTAGAGTTAGTTTTAATAATCTGTTACATTATGGTGCAGGGCATGGCACAGCAGAGTGGAAGACAAACGGGAACAACAGCTTTTCCACTCGTCTGTTTTTGCTTGCTCTTGGATCCTTTCTCATACTCGTACATTCCCTTACCGCGTTCCCACTGTCCCTAATAAATTTAACAACGATTTTTTAATAAAAAAAAATCCTGCGTAACTCATTTTAATCACAAATTTTCGGATATTTCTTATGGAGTTGTAGGAATTTATTTTTCGAATTCATGCGCGTAAAAATAATACATACCCCTCCCTCTTTCATCGCCATAGAACTCTCCTCCTTCATCCGGAACTCGGTTGATCCCGGGGGATAGTAAACCGGTGGTCCAGCGACGTTCTTGCTCTGTACAACTGGAGGCGAATGCTTGACAAAGTCCACTTCCTTCTTCGGCGTCTCGTCCTTCACCCTGTTTTTCTTCTGCATGCTATCTTCCCTTTGAATGCCAATCAACATCTCCCGCTGGATAAAAAAACAATGCGAGGGAGAAATAAAACTGAATATTCAAAACAAATTAAATAAATTTCAAAAAAATAAGTGAGCTATGGTATTTTCACCATTTTTTATTGAGTTAGGTTTGTAGTATCATCAAATAATTTTTTTTCAAATACTGCCTAAACGAGATCCTTAGTGATAAGATGATAAATTAAATAGCCTCCACCAACCTCAGAGTCTGAGAATGAAGCCATGAGGTCATCGACTCTCTTAGGTGGGCCCTGTCCATTGGTCGGAGCCTTTCCATTAACTGGATAGAGCTGAGTGCCTGTGGGGAATGGTTTAGGCAGAAGTACCTCCCGGTCATGTACATTGTGGCTCTCCTTGGAGTACTTGTAGACACTGGAGCCAGTGTTCTGCGGTGATGATGGATAATATCCATGGGGTGATCCCGGTTTATCAGGATAAAGCTCCTCAACTCTATCAATGACAGTTGTGGTGGTTGTCTCGGTGTACGGAGGCTGGCCAGGGTAGCCCGGATGGTCAACCCTATCAACTGGCAAATATCCGTTCTCATATCTCTCGTCTCTGATGTAGAAGTTCTCTTTTTTGGTGGTTGTTGTCTCGTAGTTCACCGGTGACGGTGTCAGAGGTTTTCCGTACGTCGGGGATCCGTGGAGATCCTCGTGGTAGAATTTCGATTCTTTGTGGAGGACTGATGACTTCTGGGAGACTTCAGGGGTTCTGGTGTATCTAATTGGACTGGATGATCTCTCCAGGGTTTTGTCGATCTTGTAGGAGACAGTTTGATCTAACCCGGTACCACCTGGGGGCACGTACGTCTCTGGGGCACCTGGCAATTCGTAGGTGTAGGTTTTTATTGTTGTCGTGACTTTTGTATTTGGACCTGGGGCCAAGTGCTCCGGCACCGGCACTCGCTCCACTCCGTACTCTTCGTTACGCTCTCTCGTGTGGTAATTCGTGGAGACGGTTTTTGATTCTGAGGGGAAGCCTGACGACTCTCGAATTATTTTCACTTCTTTCGATTGATTGCTCAACGGCGATGGTTGTTTTGACCGGGATGAGTACGTGTCACCGTAAACCTGTCAATCATCCCATTTTTTTTATTCACCTCCGTTGAATTATCATATTTCTTCAATAATTACTTGAGTTTTGTGAATACTTTTGTTATCAGGATGCATAATCATTAATTTATTTGTTTATTCATTTTACTTTGAAAGAGTAATTAGGCATTTATAAAAAATCGATGCCTGTAACAAAAATTGGCCTTGATGAAAATCTACTTGTTCCAATTGTAAGTAATTGAATTTAAGAATATAAAAATTCAAATTATTCTCCCCAAAAACAAACAAAAATTAATTGGTAATAAATATGCATTTCCTAACGTTGCCACGAGTACTCTGCCTTTTAGAGCATACAGAAATATCTTTAATGTATGTTTTTATGATTTTTCGGAGAAAAAATAATGGGAGGACTCACTAGTTCTCTGTTTACTGTAGACGTCTTTGTACTCCTCTCTGGACTCTTCCGTCTTCTTATTATCTCTTCGTAACTTCTTTCATGTATGTCGTCACTGTAAGAACATCATAACTAAACTCCTTTTCATTAGGATTTTATGTGAAACCGATTCTTTGAATGATTCCGCAATCTACGTATGAAAAAATTTAATCAGCAGTCGCAGTGTTTTCTTCTAAAAAGACCATATATTCCATTTATGTCAGAACCCTCTCGACACTTTTATGAATCCATTAGACTTCTAATGAATTCCCGTTAAGATCCGAAGAGTCAATAGATTCGGATTACTCTTCGTGAATATTCTCTTGCGATTTTTTCCTCAGGATTGTTTGCCCGTGAATTTCATGAATATCTTCCAGTCGAATTTAATTTTGAAAATTTTAATAATAACTAAAGTTTAAAAAATAACTGTGCGCTAGAGCGATAAGTGCATCAATCACTGATTTCCACTTTTTTTCATCACGAATAAATCGGTTGATTGTGCAATGACTTGGGCGATTGCCCGACGCGTCAAAGATATTTTTGTGTAATCTACAGAAAATGAAAAAAAAACTCGAGAGAATGGAATCATCTCTGTAGACTGATACTCACGATAATGGCGAAGTGTTCGTTGATAATGCGTTCTCAGTTGTGGCGAATGCATCTGCAACATAATAAAATCATAGATCAGGGTTCATCTAATCTTATTTCTGCGATTTAAACCCCAGGCAATTTCAGCTCTCGCTTTCTATCTCATCTACTCGGCACATTTTTTCCACACGTGAGCAAAGAGAAATCAGGCTGAACCATAAAGCATTCCAGATTTTGACCTAATACGGTGAAACATTATACGGAGAGAAAAAACGAATGGTGAGTGTTAACAGAAGAGATTTACTTGATGAAGAAAAAATATTCTCGTATCAATTTGAGAGGAGATTACTACAAGTTTTGAAAGCACCAGAAGTTAGATTTGAATTTTCCAGATATGGAAGTCAATATTTTAAATAATTTACGGCTTCCGGTTTTTCAATTAAAACCGAAATATATGAAGAAATTCGAGCAGTGGAAAATTCAAGAAAATTATTGTCGAGAATTTTCGATTTTTCAAAAGTCCGTTGACTTTTCCCTCGAAAATCCATGAAACGTCCTTACTAATTGATTACACATTAAATAATATCAAGTGCGATTTTTCAGATCATTTAGCTTTTTTGTACCGTTGCGGTAAGAACTGATTAACATCTTAACCAGATTTCTTTGTAAGAAAATAGAATCTCCGAGGCATAAACCACTCGACCCTGAATTTTATTATCATTTCCCTTTCTTGTGTTGTCGGAGGTTGAGTAGAACATTATGTGATTCAACCAGTTATGCAGAGTACTGGTAAAACGCATCTGAAAAGTTTGCTCTCACGTCAAGGCCGTGTATTCTCGACCTTTCATCACGACCTACGGGGATTGGCCCCTCCAGGGTGTTTACCCAGCTAAAGTAGCTACCAAGGACACCGAGGGATATAAAAGTTAGAAAAGTCCGATTGAAAGTGTCACTTTTCCCCCTCTCAATCCACGGATTGAAAAATCCGAGATTATTTTTCCCAATTCAATTCCTTTCCAGCATTTTCTTTTAGCTTCTTCGTATTTTGCAGGAGCTCCTCATTTTTACTACCTGAATATTTATTTTTTTAATCCACCAAAAAAAATTATGGAATTATTACAAAGCAGAAGGGTTCATCCATTCTTTTGGATATTCCAAGAGCCATAAAATTATTGTAAAAAATTATTTTGATTTATAGCTTTTTTACAGCTTTGCTCAGGGTATTATTTATAAATTATTGAGTAAACGCAGATACTCACCGACAGGTTTTCCATCTTGATTCTTGCTATACTGATACGAAACTTGTTTATAGGCTACGGTTTTGCTCTGTCCTGGTTGGACCTGAAGTCATCAAAATAATTATAATTATTATTCAACTCTGTTTACTGATTACTATTTCAACGGATTAGAACTCTTCACGACACCTGTACAATATCCAATTACAAGTTTCTCACTTCAATCTGAAGATTTTTTTATTTCTCCAGTAGAATGCATTCCAATTATTCACAAGTAAATTTCCGTTTCTTGCGCATCAATTTATCTCGAAAACTATCGACATTAGGTGGAAACACTGAAATACTTTTTTGTAGCTGATTAAATTTCTAATGAAAAATGTATTTTAACATTTTCTTCTCAAATCAATGATATTCGAAATAAATCGATATTTGACAGATCTTCAAAATTCGTCTTATGACATTTCGCTAATGAATTAGTAGAATTCGATAATTTCTCCACATAATGAGTTATTACTAACTTCTATACTATAACTATTTATAATAATTAATTCATGTATTAATGTCAGGAATTTTGTTAATACTCCCACGATAGCTGAGGAATAATACGCGAAAAGTCTACAGGTTCTGGATTCTCGGGTGAAAACAGGAGGCAGGGCTTTTTTGGTGACTGGCATTAGCCGCAGATGGATAATAATTATCACGAATTAGCATGAGTCACGGGAATCAAACGAGAGATGGATACGCAATGAAAGAGAGACTGGGTGCAGAAAAAAAAAATGTGTTGTAAAAAAGAGACTCGCCTCGACCGGCTCTCGCCTTATAAGAGCATAGAGACAGGTCTGGCTGTTGGTGGGTATAATACATGAACACAAAACGACAGTGTAAGCATTCAGCATGATCATGCGTTGGCGGATTGGTAGCACATTTGAATTCCATGGAATTCCATGGGTTCAACCATGGGGCCACCAAGTGAATGCCTAATCGTGGCATTGTACCTGTTTCGTGCTGGATTCAATCATTTGAAATACCTATTTTTTATGGACAGGCGTTACTCCAATATGAATTGAGGTGGATCTCGGTGATGCACACACTGAATTTTAAAGAGTTCAAATTATTATTTCCAATAGTTTCAATAGTAGAATTAATTTAGTACCGAACCGCTCAAGTCTGCTCACATCCAATTAAACGTTTGTCTTAATTATTGATTTATCCCGAAAACTATCGATTTCCGATGGAAATTTAAGGGGAATTTTTTGTAGCTATGCATGGAGTGCCTAAAAATCAGTTCGACGAAATAAAAAATTGCATATTCCATTGAAGAAAATTCTTTTTGCAATTACGTTGATTTGTTACTGCCCCTTGACATGAACATAATTTAAAGTATTTCAAATGGTGACTTCATCGATGCGCATGATCTGTCAGAATGTCAAAGTTGCACGCGATTCAGTTTATAGACGAGGAAGTGGTTAGAGGAATAGAATACGTGAAATAGACACCAGATTTCTTGGTTGATCTTACATTTCGTAGTTCAGCATCGAGGGACTCTAGACCGGGAATTCCACTTCCTAGACCTGCGGGTGATGCGCTGACGTATTTTTCTGTCGTCGTTGTTGTAGTGCGAATTGGCGAGGTTGATCTAAATAATAATAAAACAATAATAACTCCCAGGATCTATGTGTTAATTTATCATTTGACCAACTATTAAATTAAAAAAATTAAATTAGGAATTAAATATAAATCCAAGAAAACAGGTTTTTATGAATTATTAATGGTATAGGGTTTATAGAGAAATGGTATAGTAATTATAGAGAAATTTATTTTTGCTCTACCGTGTGATGAACTATTTACCTGACTTCAGTGACTGTTCGTACGGGATTAGCGGCTGATCTGTATTCATATTGCGGGGAAATTGGTCGTCTACCACTGGGTGTTGTACTCCTTGAAACACTTGTTTGGAGATCCTCCAGAAGGGCATCTAAAGTCATTTTTTTATTACTCATCCATGATGAGGGGGTATAAAAAATTATAAAAAAATTATTTTCAATTCTCTTGTCACTCCGCCGTTTATGTTTCTTCCATTTCTAAGGAATATGTATTTTTTATCGTCATTAATCAACCTATTTTATAAGGATTATAACGACTCTATTGTGTTGTTTTGTAAATTTTCGAAAGATTTATAGAAGTCCAGAAAAAATCCAGTAAAATAATTGCACAGTATTGAAATTTCATAAGTTCTCCACTTAGTTTTGCCCTCGAAATTTCTGGAATCCTGGAAAAACAGCCCAAATAAATTGAATCAGTTCCAGAATTCTTTTTAACAAAAATTACGTCAATTATGCAATGCCAATTACGTAATAAAATTAATTATTTCTCGAAGTGTTAACCGAGAGTAAACATTTTTTTTTTAACCAGTTTTCAGCAAATATCTTGGTATTGAAGGACGCTAGTGATATTTACATGAATACCCTTTTTGCGGTTCTCTCTTTTCTGTAGAAAAAATATATATATATAAAAATCGCTATCCTCTTGGAATTTCCCGATGTTCGCTAAGAATTGGTCTGGACAGAATGCACTCCTGGCCGTGATAAACTCCAGAAGTTGATCAATTTCAGGATTATTTAATCTCGAGGATGTGACAGTATTAAATGAGACAATGAATGAAGAAGACTGACGGCCGTGACAAGCCGGAGGCCAAACGTGATCTCACAGTATAAAGTTACAAGATGCAATGTGAAAGGGTGAAAAAGGAGATTTTTGATAATACGATGCAGACTGGATTTTACCCAAGTTGTTCTCGAGGCTGCTGGCCGAGTTTGCCGAGTGGCCCTGTCCAGATATAGCACCACCATGACTCACATATTTTCTGCTCACATGTGAGCTCTCCCTTGTCGATGGCATTGCCTCCTATTTTTTCCTCTCCAAATCTGAAAACAAACATTTTTTTTAAACATTCAGAACGTCCAGATTCTTTTATCGTCGGGATATTCGAAACGACAGGTGAATTCCAGATCAGTGGAGAACATCTGGTGGATCTCCACTAATCGTTTTTCATGGACCAATTTGGGTCAAGGTGTACTGATTTTTTATTTGATTTTCTAAAAATATTTTTTGAGGAGTAATGGGAATATTGAGGTCGAAGAATAATTAATTGTAATATTACATCCAGGACAAAAATCCAGGAAATCATTATCTTGTGCATATTATTTATTGCATATAATTTTATAAGGATGCCATAATATGCAATTGTTTCATTCAAAAAAAGAATAGAATCTAGAACTAGAATCCAGAAAAATGGGAAAAAACACATCGATACTTTGTTCTCCATATAATTTAATTCTTTGGAAGACGTGTTCTTCTGTTATTCACTGAATGAATATTCGGCGGAAATAAATTTTCTCGTCGGGGTGGAGATAAAAGTAGATACGATAAACGACCCTTTCGGAGAATTCGAATGTGAGAGCAAGGTGATGACTCATCTGGATCAAGGGTAAACCTGGTGGACCCGGTGCCACCAAATTCACTCAGGGTGATGACAATTTATGAGTTGAAGAAGACGGTCATTATTCTAATCATTCATGAAATATTAGTCACTCGTTAATTTTTATTCCTAATATTTTGGAAAAGACTGAGCGAACAATTTAATTACTTATCATTATCAATAAACCAACAAAAACAATTATGAAAATTACGCTGGCTCGTTATTTTTAAATAGCTTTGCATTTTTCGTTCAGTTTAATTTACACTCTGAAATAATACTTTCGATATATTTTTACATAATCTATCACATATCATGAGTAGTATAAAATTATATGAATCTAAAATTTTTGTCAAATCATTTTTCATTTAAAGAGATTTTTATAAACATAACGAAAGTGAAGGTTTTTAAATAACTGATTTCCAATAAGTGATTTTTTTTTTTGTAAGGAATCTATCGGATGAGCTCAATTCACATTCATCTGGTCGCTGTATTAGTAATACGGAATGCTATTGAAGCATAATTATCCTCCTGTAGATATTGCGCTGACTATCAAGGGTGTAATTTGCTCAACTGCGTGAATACGGGATCATTCGTATGTGTACTTAGCGAACCTGATAAATCTCAACAGGAGTATGATGTAACGGGTGTATATCCATTTAATAGGTACATGCAGAACTACTTCTCGATTTCAGATAAGAGTAATTACATGTGGAATAAAAAGGAGAGGAAAAATCAAAGCAGTGTCAGTGCATTTGCCGACCGATCTCATCTGTTTTGCATGACTCCGATGGAATTGTTTATTTGTGAAATATTTTTTGCACTGCCACTTTATAAGACAGATTATATGCAATGAAAAATGCAAATTGCAGAGTTGAAAAGGAGGAAAATTACTTTATTACTCCAATCATTAGGAAGTGAAATTGCAATTTTTCTCATTTCTATGTAACTAAGAAGAATTATCCAGTAACAGATAAACAAATGAAATAATGTTAATTTCAAATTTTTATGAAACAATAAAATTGAATTCCGCAAATACTCACTGACGATTTGCCTAGAAAATATTAATTTTTATAAACAATTACTTTCATGGTTATTCTTGAATATTTTTGTGCCGTATTTTTCTTAGATGAAGAAAAATCGAAATAGTTTTGTATCAACTGGGGCAATTGCAGATATTTTGAAAAATAAAAATTATTCCGGGTGTACGAACTTGCGAAACATTTTGCCTTCTACCAAAAATCCCTAATTTATTCGTATTTTCCATTTCTTCTTCCCATTCTCAGGTTTATTTGCGTTCTCATACGCAGTCTCAGCTGTATAAACACTGAAATCGGCCATGATACCGATATAGATCACTCGTAATACTGTGCGTCGAAGTTTGTGGGCGTCCGACGGAGATCCCAAAGGCAAATAATACCGATGATATCGAACGGAATCGAGTGATGTATCGATGTGGGTGTGGGCTCATTCCTCAGTTTTCGTATTATAATTACTATGTGGGATACGGAGAGCTGAATGCCATGAATGGGGAGCAGAGCTAGGACACCTGTTGCGTCAGAAGAATTTTTTCATTTACTCATGACTTCCCAGAGGATAGAAAAAATTATGTGCTAAAAAGACTTGATTTAGTTCTTCGCTGAATTTCTGAAAATTCATAAATATATTAATAGGAAAAACATTTTTCTTTGTTCTGTTCTTTACCTCATAATTAAAAAAAAAATCGTTTGACTATAAAAAATAAAATAAAATATATAAAATTTAAGTTCAATTGAAATAAATTATCAATTGATTCAATTCTCTTTAAATTTCAAGTAAAAAAATTGATATTTTTAATAACACTGCAGTGATATAAAGTTTATTTTCATTGTGCTATTGTAATGTTAAGTAATATCCTGAATGTACATGAAATTCTAGTCGCCGGGCTCATATGTCAAAGAAAATTACTGAATGAATACCTTTACACGATGGTCTGCAATTTTTATTGTGACTATTCCATGAAAATTAAATTTAAACATATCTACTTAAAGCATAAACGTTGCATACAATTGCATTAATTACGCCAGTGAATCGATGGCCAGGGGAAAATCCTAGGGTTGGCAAGTGAATTTGGCCCGAAAATTTGACAGAAAGAGGGAAAAAATGAGAGTGCCAAAACAACAATTGTTCCCTTGTCATCACCATGCTCACTTTTTTTTAAATGTATGTACATGTAATTTTTTTCGGGAAAAATTGTCACTGCATACGTAATTCAGCTTCGCAAGTCTTTTGATGGTGACAATTGTTCTTTCTATAGACTAAAGGTAATTTGTTTTTTAATGCAAAAAATAGCTGTTAGCATCGAATTTTTTTTTCACGAATTAGCCAAAAACCGCAAAGAGCCCAAAATGAGACTCTTATTACCAGAAATGAAAAAGGAAAGGCGCCAGTTGCGAGACATTTGGCCGAGGACAACTCACGTGTCTGAGAATTAAGTGGGCGCGTCAATAACACGTTTATATCCCAGTGCAACTGTCACCCACGCACGTCAAATATTACGAAAAAAATTAAAAAGAGAAGGAATTGGATGCGCTTCAGTTGCTAATTATTACACGGAGTAAGAAAAAAAATTGAAAAATACTTTGGACAAAGAAAATTTATTTAATAAGGAAAATTTTCCATTATCAAATAAAAGAATCGCGGTATCGGAAAATATTTTTGTTGAAATATGAAATAAAACCCATTTTTCTGCGATCACGTATATGAATTTAATAATTTTGGTCGTCATATTGACAGGAGAATGTCCGACAGGAAAGAATTCTCTTGTTCAAACAGAGTTTTTACGTGTCAATATTTTGACACGGAACCATAATTTCTAGTCTTGATAATCTCATTTTGTTGGAACCATTTTTGTCCCAGTGCGAGAACGAAATTATTTGCGAAAGAATATTTTTTTGCAGCAAATATGTTCTGATAATGTTAGAATCAAATTATTTTTCAGATTTCATGGTCGTTAAGTGGCAAGACACAATTTTTTTGGGCATAGATAAATCATCTTTGTCGAAAGGATTTTTTTCTGCTAATGTAGAGTCATTGGTACTTGTTAATTAATATTAGCATCAGCGGATGGTGATGCTTGGGTGGACCGATTAGAGATTATCGAGATTTCAGTGGCTCATTGGGGTCAGGTCGAGAGGATCTGGTCCGTCGACCGTGACAAACCGATCACTCGAATGACATCATTGTGACCCCAACAATTAAAATTATCTCAACGCGGAAAAAAAATTAAGGAACAATTACGCAGAAAATCACATAATCGACTGCTAAATCGTCATCCGCTCATGATCTTTCGGTCAATGAAGAAAATTTCCTAGCCGTCAAAAAATTATGAAAAAATATCTGAACGAAAAAGAGATATCGCAATTTTTGATAAGATATCTTTTGCAAAGTAAAATAATTGTTGTAAAAGAGGTATTTATAAAAATGTCGAGTTCTCTTTTAGATTCAGAGGTATTCCATAATAATTCCATAAACAAATAATATTCACGAATTTTAGGGGCATAAATTTCGAAAATGAAATTTTTATGGGGAACTGATTTTTTACGAATGAATAATAATTTTAATGTAAAGGTAATATGATAAATTCGTGTTACGTTTTTTGACGAAATTTCTATGTTATTTTGTGGTACTTTGTGATATTTTATTTCTGCCTATTTGGTCCATGCCGATTAAAGGAATATTGTCGAAATTAATCGGAACGAAGATGTATTGCGTTGCGGATTACGAGGTAATTCATTCGAGACCTTGTCAACATCAAAGATCATGAGGGCAGTTGGTGTTGTACCGAGTAGAAGTGGATGACTAAACTCCTTCACACCGGACTATATTCGGCTTCTCAGTCCGACTTTACGACTCTGCGCTATAAACCTCCAACACATGATTTTTGGCATTGCGCCGGGCTTTTTTAAACTCAGACTCACTACCTATGTACAACCGTAGAAATATTATTGCTATACTAATTCGGCTAAAATTAGGTTGTGCCGGGAACGAGAAATAAATAAGTTCCTGGGACTGGTCATTGTTATTCTAATGTTGTTCGTTTGCAATGAGATCTGTAATTACGATTACGAGGCACATGATTACCAAATGGAATGAAAATAATTGCGGGAATTAATAGGATGCAAGTACATTATTTTTGTAATTCAGTTGACATTTTTTATGAAAACTTCAACATAAATGTTGGAACTCATGAAATTTTGCGGGGTTATTGAATTTATTATTAATTATTACATCAACGATATGATTGTTGAATGTTCATATGAGCTCGGAGAATTTGATTGGAAGGTAAATTAAAATTTATGGGCAGCTGTCATTTGTATTGAAAAAAATTCTTGACAGTCCATTGGGGTATTGACTGGGTCAATGTGGCGTGTCAAACAGTCAAATTATGAATTGTTTATCCTTGAACGTCTGACCCTACGTAATTTAATAGCTTTCATCCTGTTGAATGACGATAACTGACGGCGAAATTTCAGTTAAAAGGAATAAACAAAAAGTAATTGGGGAGTAGTAAAATTGAAAAAGTTGAATTGCGCTTGCTTTCAGTGAATTTCCTATTTTTTTAAGGATGTTGACACGAAACAACAATTACTCAGAAAAATTAATTTGTTATTAAAATGGGAGATGACGTATTTTTTGTTATTTCGATAACAACTCCAATGCGGCAACTCACGTTTATTATTTACAGATGAATATATCTGTCAATGAAATTTATTCCATAACAAATAAACTGGTTTGACAGAGGATTTCAAATTCGCAAAAACATGATCGAATCTTCTTCGAACAAGAAATTAAAACCCAGTGATAAGAGCAATTACATACCGTTTGCCAGACAAATAAAAAAATGAACTATTCCCAAAATTTCATGAGTTTTCCATAAAAATGGACGCATCACACTTTTGCCTCATATACTAATCCGTGAGTAACAATTTTTCCTGGTGTATATTCCGCAAGAAATTCTGGTGTGTAGACTGAATTCACCGAAATGAATAAATAGATAAATAAATAATGTTAAAAATCTCACCGGAATGGCGTGCGTTAAATAATCCAAGACGTTCCACAATGAACTGAGGACTTCACAGAAACCGGGAAAATTGAATAAACGTTGGCGTTAGTGGAGCGCCAATGTTGCGGCGAGAGTGTCTGGCCAAGACTGGCCTCGTCCACTGGCGATACTCTTCTTCTTAGTCGAAAAGCCACTCTCAAGATCTAGACGTTAACTTCCTCGCGCACACGCTTGCGCCAATATTCCGCCTGTTTTGTTGGGTTTGAGCCACAAATGCCGAGTGGTTGTCACAACTCATGTATTGTTGTCCTCCTACGTGCTGAGGTGGTGGGGCCCTTTCGGGGAGGAACGACATTCCGAGGTCGTTCCCTTGAGAGAACGCCCCGAGAACCCGTGACGCCACTGCGGAATATAGTATATTGCAGTCCAATTGAAAATAGTACATTTCATAACAAGTGCGGAAAAGTGATTTTTCATGTATGGGAGGTTTAGAGCACGAGCCGAAAACGAGTGGTGTAATCCCACTGGCCAAAAATCATTTTTCCGCACTTGTTACGAAATATACTATTTTTTCGCAATGTGCGGGAAGTTACTTTTCGGCACATGGTGATGAAAATATTGTATCATAGATGTGAGAAAACGAAAAGAAGGACATATCAGCATCCCTACACTGCATAATTTTTTAAATTGAATTCAATTTATTATCCAGAAATTTGCAACTTATTGAAAAAATCAAGACAAATTGTAAAAGTTGATTGAATGACTGAACGACCGAAGATCAGAGGAAATGAGGAAGATGAGGTAAATATGGTAGATATGAATGAATAATACTCCATCTAAATTCTTGTGTCTAATAAATTTACAATGATATTTGAATTAATAAAAATAGTGTTCTTCGGTGCACTTAATACGATCTTACAAACTCTCTAATTAATTCTGCGCTTATGTCATCGCACATATTTAGTACTGGAGACAATCGGTCAGTGTGTTAAAGATGATCTCGCACAGTGGTATTTGGATGTAGCATCCAGGAAGGTCCCATCGGTTAGGAGTACGCAGTTTCATGGTAAATTCCTCTGGTGTGCGAAGGCGTCCGGAGACTGTGAGTGACCGTGAAACCGATGTGGACCATTCACGGTGTAACACCTGAGTCGTAAAAGGAATTGGCTGTACCGTTTCTTCAACGAGTGACGATTCTCCTCGTCATTGAGCTGACTGCGTTGGAGCAAGCGCCTAAGACCATTTGCGGACATTTTAAGAGGAATTGATGAGGAGAACATCCAGGGCTATTGAGGACTTACATTCAAGACAGTAATGAGCGGCTCTCTACATGATTCGTAATCTTCAATTATCAATGAGTTTCTATTGATGCACATCATTTAAATTATTCTATGACCCATAGAAAACGAGATAAATGCAATTTCATAAATTTGAAAAAAAATTGCACCTATACCCTATAAATCTCCCATTCCACCTTATTGGCATCTGGAATATCTCCATGCACTTTTCGAATTAAAAAGAAAAGAATGAAAAAATTTTCCGGCGCCCTCCAAAGCCCCACTGTCCGATGTTGCCCTGGTTTCCAGCGATTGCCGTAGTTACCGACAAAGCATCGGTTGAGATCAAGGTTCGGGTTTTGTCCGCGGAGTAGAAGGGCGTAAAGTCGCCAGTCGAGAAAAAATTCCCTCCATCCGGGCCTTAAGATGTCGCCATGTTGGGAAAGAAAGGTACTATTCCATTCAGAAAAAAAGACTGAAATATGCCTAGAAGCATTGCAGCTCATAACAAGTCGACCGTCGGTGAGAACGGTTGTGCATTCTTTCACCCTGGAGCATAAAAATGTGACGAAAAATCGCCGGTGATAAATAATAAAAGTGAAACAAGTGTTAGTCCATACGACTCGTGATTGTTGACGTATGATCATCGATAAAATGTTGCATACGTGTTGTTCATCACTCGTATCGACCATCATTGTAAATAAACCGTCGATTAGGTGACTGATTACTCATTAATCACGAATATTGAGAAACGAATAGGTATGTTTGCTGATGGATACTCTGGTCAATTGAGAATCCAAAGGTATGTGCTATCGTAAATTAATTTCTGACTTTATTGCACAACTCTGGAGTGCACAATTGTCGGAAAACGTATGTAGATATTTGTCACCTTGACGTCTCAATCGTGGAAAATTATTGAGTTTTTTTCTTTCTTTAGTCAGTATAATAATTAATTCTAGTAATTCTCATATGGAAATTACTTTTCAAATATCGAGATTTGTCCAGCTTTTGCTCAACAATCGCTCGGTTATCTCTAATTTTTTTAACTGTTGCAGAGCTTTCTTGATAAGGCTGTTTTCTTTTTTTGTTTTTCTGGCTCTGTGGGGGTCTTTGAGGATATTATCACAATTTGTTTATCAAATATTCGTCTTGATAAGTTATTTTATTTTTGAAAAAATTGAGTGGTTTAAGACAGAAATACAGAGGAAAATTTTTTATTTCAAAGTGTCTTGATGGTTTCAGTTGAATTTAATTGTTTAACTGGAAACTTATGGAAATGTCACTTAACGATATCATTTTTTCGTGGAAAATTGAGATAAATTTATCAAATATAATTAACAGTACTCAGAAAATAATTGCCATAGTATTCTCATGATTGACGAGCTGTGGGTAATCAGGCCTTTTTTTACGCATTTTATCAGCTGATTACTCCTCTTATACGAGAAATCAATGGAATAAAATAAATAATTTGCAAATGAATCATCATCAATTAATGATGTAATTAGTTGAAAAAAAGAAGAAAATCAAAGAATTCATTGAAATTAATCATTCTATTATTGTTTTCCAGATGAATTTAATTATATATAGCGGAATTGGCGGCTTTGTGATTCTTCTCGTAGCATTATTCGGCCTAGGAACAATTATCAAACTTATTTTATGCCTCATCGTTTTAATCTTAGGGTAGGTAAAAGGTGTAAAAGCATCACTTATGAATTTTCAATTTATTTCATTTTACTTCCACTTCCAGAACACTGATTTGTATATATAGAAAATATGCGCCGACTCTCGAGAAGACTATCAAACTCAACCAAGAAAACTTATTCAAGAAGACTGAAAAACTACAACGGGTAAATCCACTAACTTCTAAAACAATTCCAGTCTCACCTTGAAGTCAGTAGTTTTTACTACACACGTCATTTTCAATGAATACTTTATTTACAGAGGGAATAAAAAAAATTACTCATTAAAATCAATTTTTCAAGGTCTGGATTAATTAATATTTCTGGCAATTTTTTGAAACATTATATACCGATTATTTATTAAAAATCGTATAAACAATGTGCCTTCCCCTAGATTTGAAAAATAATGTTGAAGTTTTGTTAGTTGATTTTTTCTCACACCTGCTAGACTATCAAAGACCTCTCGAAATCCAAGGTGACGTTTACCCTGGACAAGCGCGTCACCGGCAGTCCGATAATCGACGAATCACTGCAGGAGATTCTGGATTTTGTCCTCCGGGACTACGTAGAGCCGTGGTACAGCGTTTTAACCAACGACGAGGAGTTTCCCTGTTCGGTTCGCGACACAGCCCAGAAGATAGCCATAAACATTGCGAATCGGGTGAAGGATGTGGACTGGATTCCATACTTGACGACTCGTCTCGTTGACGACGCAGCTTCGCACATGCGTCTGTACCGTCAAGCTCGTGCCAAAATGAAAGCAAACTCGAAGACCCCGAAGACGAGTTGCTCCAGCAACTCTGGTGGCACCCCGAAACGCTCCCCAAGTCGTCACCGGCGAAACAAAAGCGAGACAGACATCGCCTGGTACTCGCAGTCAAAATTCTACATTCCAAATTTAACATCCTTGACGGAACCCATCGACTGTAGGAACGATGAGAACGACTTAGAGAACATCTTCTTCGATCTGGAAGTCCAGATGGAGAACAACTTGATAAGTCGTGACCTCGTGTGCACAAACGAGGAGCAGGAGTTGTCCTTCCTGCGAGAGCTGTCGGAGATTCTTCTTTATTTAGTCCTCCCTAAAACCGATTTCGACTGTTTGACTGTCAGATTTATCCTACGCGAGCTCCTGGTGAACGCAATTATCATCCCTTTGCTGAATCTCTTCTCCGATCCAGATTACATAAACCAAGCGTGCATCTGGCTTTGTACTAAAGATTCAACTCTCCCAACTGACGTTTTTCTCACAGTTGTGAGAATAACAGACAGCTTAGAAGAGCTCACGGCCATAAAGAACATCGTCTCCACGGAGATTGCACACTTGAGATCTAAAGACTCCGGTGGAGATGATGATCTGACAGTGAAACAGCAACTCAACAGTCTTCTGTACGTCAAGAAGATCCTGGAGACGAGGATAATTAGCATGCAGGACGGTCTCGATGCAGAGACATCTCTCGGTATTCCACCAGATTGGAATCGACTTCTCGTACCAGGTCACAAACCCGTCAATCTACCTCTTGATGAATTACTTAAAAATAACATCGCTCTGAGCTATTTCATAGACTACATGACGAGCATCAACGCCGAGGCCTACCTCTACTTCTACTTAAACATTTATGGATGGAGGGTATCTGCTGAGCAGCAGATCTCAGACATCGAACTGCAAAAGCTGCCGTCCAATCAGTCGAGTCAATTTCGAAGGAAGAATATCAATTTGGAGAATCTCAAAGAAGCAGCGATGAAGATTCATCAGCAGTATCTCGGAGAAAAAGCAGTGACTAGACTGCACCTCGATGATAACCTCGTGAAAAATCTTCTCATGAGAATTAAAATTGAGACAGTCAAAGAGACTTGGTTTGACGAACTGCAGAATTGCTGTTACGAGAAACTGAAGAACGAGGACAGATTTCTCCCTTCGTTCAAACGATCTTTGTCATACATAAAATTATTAGCAGAGTTAGATCTGTTGAAGGAGGAGGACAGCAAGTCCCTGGATGGCATCAGCCTGTCGAGTATTAATAACGAGATAGATTCGATGGAGGAATTATCTGGAAACGACCAGATCAAGTACTCATTTTGCGAGAGTAGCAAGTCAAATTCCAATTCATCGGCGAGTTTGACAAGCATGGAGAGGGAAGCTGGTGGATTTGATGGTGATGAAGCTAATGAGGGGGCAGCGTCATTCTTTCTGGAAGGCCAGGCAGAGCAGATAATTAAGCTAGATGATGCGGCTTGTGATCAGAATGCTATAAAAAAACTGCAGCAGGGGAGATTTGAGATTACCGCTGAGATCATTGAGACTGGAGTAGTGAATGACAGGGGAAAGACTTATGGCATCTATGCTGTTGCCGTTTCAAAAATCTATGACTCTGGGTACAAAGAGAAGTGGCACATCTACAGGAGGTACTCCGACTTTCATGATCTACATCAGAAAATCAAAGAGAAATACTACGATCTGGCGAAATTGCCTTTTCCTGCTAAGAAGGCTTTTCATAATATGGAGAGGACGCTCTTGGAAAGGAGGATGGCGATGCTCAATGCGTGGCTCTGTAGACTCACAAAACCGAGCATCACGGATGGTCATATGGGGCTCCAGAATTTATTGCTTGCTTTCCTGGAACAAGGGGAGTATGACAAGGGCGTCACTGGGGGTCACATCTCCAGGACCATTGATACACTGGTGAATCCTTTGAAGACCTCCATGAAGAGTGTCACTCAGGCTGTTAAGACCATGCCTGATAATATGCTCAGTACGGTGGATGGGGTTATGGATAATATCAGCAAATTCTTTGGAAATCCCAGGAAGAATAGCATGTTTTATGAGAGTGTCAAGGTTGGAGCTGGAATCGACACTGAGGTAAATATGATCTTTCTGAAAAAATTTCTCCATTTCTCTGGGAAATATTTTTGCTATTTTTCGGAATTTTTTGGGTTACAGACAGACGACAATATACCTCTGAGGATAATTCTCCTCTTGATGGACGAGGTATTCGATCTGAAAGTTAGAAATCAGTGGCTGAGGCGAAGAATTGTCACACTCTTGAGGCAAATTATTCGAACAATGTTCGGGGATATTGTGAATAGAAGAATCGTTGAATATGTTTCAGTCTTGACGAGCCCCAAAAATGTTGCTACTTACTTAAAGTTATTCAAGTAAGAATCTAAAATAAAAAATGGAATATTAATATAATGAAATTAATATAATGAAACCTGCTTTTGATTATGTCTTTTTAGGCAAAGCCAATGGCCAAATGGTGGTAGAGCAGAGGCAAGACCTCCACGTGACACCGAGACAAAAAATCGTACCCGAGTTGCAGCTAAAATTGCCCTCCTCTCGTGTCTGTCCGACGAATTGAAACATATCATTGGTAGTGAAACAACAAGATGCGGATTATTACGTGTATTTGAGTTATTTCAACGTCCAGTACTCAACAGAAGACTGCTCTATGTTCTACTAGAAGGTATTATCGAAAATCTGTTTCCCCAGAACGACTTAGTTACTCTCATCAAGAAATTGTACTCTGTATCGCCGAGGGTCAAGAGTAAAAAGATGACTTCTTGACAGACATTTTATCACCGATAAAAAACATCTAGAGATAATTCTCAAATTAATCATTGCAATAATGGCTAATTCTTCATTCTATTCTTAATTCTAAATTGAAAAAAAAATATGGAATCTCATGGCAACTTATTCAGAAAATTAAATTGATAAATTCAAAACACCGAGCCCCTGGGAAAAATCCAAGTAGCTAAATTAAAATTTCTATTTTCAATTGTAAATCTTTAGGAGTGCATTTGACTATTTCTGGAATGAAAGCTCTATATTTGGGGCAACTAAAATGATAAATGAATATTGAGGGAACAAAATGATATTTCAAAACGCTTTTTACATTACGATCTTACGTAATTACTATCGGCAGCTTTCGTGAAAATTGTCAATCAGTGAATGATAATCGTGGCCAAAAATATTATATAGATCTAAGATTAATTTAATTGCCTATAGACTCGTGACGTCAAACGAGAATTCAAAAACGTGACAAAATCATGTTTAAGCATTCCATTGCGAATTTATTCACTATCTCAATTGAGTTATATTTTCTATATCTTTTACTTGTAAAAATCATTTATTTCGATTCAAATTTTATTCAGCACTTTTGGATGTATTCATTTATTAGTAGACTTTTCAATATCCTCTAATAGGTGAATTACGAATTTGACAGCATGTCGATTCCAAGAGTAAAGGAAGACGAGTGTACGGGTTTGCACGACTGACTTTCTTTTCCTTTTAAGTACTTGATAATTACAGAGTCAGAATTGACTCAAAAACTATTGAATTGTGCATCAATGTCGTGTATAAAATGTTACAGCTTATATAAACTGTTTACATAAAAAAATAAATGAAAAAAAAAATCTTTATACAACATGAAGAACCACCGCTGTGAGTGATTTGATTCGATCAATTTTTATTTTTAATTTTCCAGGTTTAAACTAAATATATCCTGATTCAATTGAATTCAATTTAATTTGACTGATTTCTTCAATTTTCTAGAGAATAAAATTTCCATTTTATCTTTTAAATCCTTTTTTTAGGGTTGCTCCGATTATTTAAATGGCTGTATGAATAATGTAAAATTCAACGACATAAATAAACAAGTTTCCTCTGCTCCCCTGATTCCAAAAAATAATAGAAAACAGTTGGAGCCGCAAGACAAAGGACGTTATTACTTGATCATTGAAGGTTTGAGCCCCTCGCAGATGAAAAAGCGAAAAAAAAAACAAAACAAAAAGCCAGCCTCCCACCCCTTACACCAATCTTCATCCACCGGTGCAAGGACGTGCGGAAGAAGAGGATCGACAATTCTCTGTTTTGTAACGTGCAGGAGTGCCTCGTCGAATGGGGCGGGAAAGAGAGAGAGAGTAGATGGTATTGTGCAGAGGAGAATCAAATGTGCGTAAGGTACTGGGGGATTCTGTTATGTGAGGCCTTCGTCTGCAGAACACGACAATATCCCAAAAAATGAGTGAGAACGCGAAATTCGCGTCAGATTTTTACCCACAGAACAGCCAACATCATAATTATTTTTATTATATCAAGGTAATGATAATCTCAATTGAAAATACTTGATGAGTTCTGTTTAATTACAACATTTCAGGGGAATTCTATTGTTCTTGATTTTTTTGTAATGTGTTTTTTCCATTTTTCCTGTTTAATTAT